TAACACATCGTTGTTTATTCTCCAGATTTACTTTTTTTTTCTATTTTTTTTTTCTTTTTATCTTTATTAATTTTTATTTTTTTACTTGTTGCTTACGAAACGCCCCCCCCCCCCCCCCCTTTTTTTTTTCTTCTTCAGAGTTGTCCGCTCTAGGAAGTCTATCACTTCCCTATATACACTTCTTTATATACTTATATAGGTACCTATTTAAGCGACCATCTAAGCACCACTTCTCCTCGACCCCGAAGGCCAAAGGGGGGCCCCACCATCTACGCTGTCCACAAAGCTACTTCGTCGATGGCCCTGTCTCCCGGGGCCTGGAGAGCCCGCTTGGTCGCGATATTGACGTGCGCTACTGCCTTGTGACGGTGCGCCGCGTGAGACCGGTCTCATGTTGTACAGCTGTGACGGTGTTGGGTATAGGCGCTGGGACGCCTCTGATACTGCACTTACGTTGGCCCTTGTTAGTGGCAAGGTGAGCGTTTCTGCCCGGCTCGAGCTGGCGGAGCCCCGATCACTCCCAAAGTGGGATGCGAAAGGCGGTCTCCATGATGAATGACTCGGCGGTCCACTAGCAGTCACCTGGCTTGACAATGGACTTTGGCCCCGGCTCTGGCTGCCTCCAACATGCGACCGAGACCTATTGCTGTTAGTCCGAGAGAGACCCCTGACCGTGTTCTGGTCCGACCCGGCTTCGGATCCGGTTTCGTAGACACTCTCTTCGTAGGCTGAGGACTGCGGATAGAAAGATGTGCTGGGGGGATATTGGGACTGCGCATACGAGTTATTAGGAACACCGGCCCAGACACCATTCCCGTGTGGATGGTAATTCCCTGGAGGCGTTCCGTACCCAGGCTGCGTGGGTGGGTTTTTCATGTGCGTGTACGCATCACGATACGTCAACACATCATTCCCGGCCCATTGGATTTTATCTCGGAGCTCTGGTGGGAATGCGTTGGGGTCCATGATGATTTATTAATTTGGAAATACAAGTATTTATACACTTCAGTTTAACGGTAGATATACACTAGAAATGATAAATGTATGTATGTTCAATAGTGGAAGCAGATTGAAATGAATGAAGTAATTGATGCGTTTGAGATGCTGGATAATAATTTCACACATCTCTAAGCTACAGATTACCTCTTATACTTTCCCTCACGAGACTCCGTCCTGATAATCAATGGCCTAGGGAACTGTTTGTTTCAAAACAAGCTATTGTCATATCAGAAAGGCGTCAACATGCCCTTTCAAAGGGTCTAGCTCGTTGACCGTACTACAAGGGATTGTAATCCCGTTAAAAAGAAGGTGTATATGAATGCGATTGTGAGCTCCTTTTGGACTCTCGACAAAGAATAGTTGGTGTATTGAGGCAAGTAATGTAACCTGACACAATGTGCCCTACTAAGCAGTCTTTAACAACGGGAAATATTCCGGATCCCTAATTTATACATTGGGCCTATTCACGTCAACATAAGGTAGGAATCGTCAACCGGGTCATTACTACCTGGACACTTCTATAGCTAGCCAAGTATGATATTATCCAACTGCTCACGATCTAACCGCGATTGTAGCGCAGCCCTCAGTAGGCCCTGGCTCTTCGTGATGGCGGGCACAACCCCGTCGATCTGCTGTAGGTTCCCTCGCATGCTTTCCATATGGTTCGCGATTTGGCCGGCTAGGCCAGCTAGCTCGTCGTCTAGATCAGTGAACACTTTACCACTGATATTCTCTGCAGACACAACCTCTCCGATGGAGTCGACCCTCGACTCGGGTGGTGGCTTTTCCGGTACTAGCACGTGCATCTTCCGCATCTGATCCCGTCTCTCCCTAGCCTCGGCGTGGGCATTGGAGCCGAGCCGGGCGAGCGCCTTATACTCGCGGTCAAGCTCCTTCTCAGCGCGTTCCTTCTCGCGACGTAACAGCTCAACACTGTGGAGTAGCGGATCGAGCTGTGACTCAAGGGCCTGGATACCCGAGACAGTGCGCTCGAAATCGAATTCCTCCTCACGCCGGGTCGACGTAGTGGCCGGTGGGAAGGGTAGGCCTCGCCCGATCTTGGAACAAAGCCGTTTGCTTACGGCATTGAGAGCTGCGGCGGCGTGCCCGTGCCGCTGAGGGTTGCTGAGGCGTAGAAGCACTGGCCGCGACGCTGACTGGAGGAGCGAAGCTACGCTAGAAAGAGCTGGCTGCTCGAGGGCTGTCCATTTAGACTCGATGATATTGAGAGGAACACGACGTGTGCGCGTTGTGAGGTGTCGGTAACGGGGCGGAGAGGTAGCTGAATCAGGTGATGATGAACGGTCTTGTGCATCGGGAGATGGTCTACGCCCCCCTGATTTTGGTGATGTCCTATTAGACTGGCGCGGTTTCTGTTTTCTGGGGCGGTTCTCTTCTTCTATAGAAACCTCTTGGCCTTGTGTTGGCTTTCCTTGCGAGTTCTTCCCTTTTCCTTTCGTAGATGATGAAGCGGTCTCGTTAGGTGGTGGTTGACGATCGCGTTTCTTTTGCCGACCTTGGGGTTTAGGGTCGGCCTCTGCTGGGGGTTGAATGCTGAGAGAAGGTCGGCCTCGCTTCTTTTTATGCGGGGGGGTAGGGTCCTGTTCTGCTCCGGCCGTAGTTCGTCCATTTGTAGAACGTCCTTTCTTTTGGCGTTTATCAGTTATTTGGTTGCCTGAACTCTGCTCGTTGGCTGGCTTTGCTATCTCTTGGGCCCCTTTATTTGATGATTCTGGAGATCTACGAATACGTCCACTCCGCCGAAGAAGGCTCGAGTTGCCTTCATTCTCATCATCGGCCTCATCATCTTCGACTTCGTTGCCCTTAGTTGCCTCCAATCCTTTTGGTGGACGACCCCGCTTGCTTCGAGGTGCATCTTCATCCCTGGTATTTGCTACACTATGTTCTTGAGCCTCGGCCTCGTCATTCGTTAGTGAAGCTCGAGGACGACCGCGTCTTTTTCGATCAGCAGGTAATTTCCCCTGGTCCTCATCTCTATTATCATCGGGCTGTAATGTCGGCGACGGCCCGCGCTTCCTCTTAGCTTTCTGTGCTTGAGAAGGTTTGGGTTCGGGTTGTGCTTGAGACGGGATCTCGGTGTTGGTTGGACGTCCGCGCTTCCGGGGCCGGGATGGTTCTTCTATTTCCGAATCTCTTGTATTTCCGGAATTTGTAGTTAACTGGCCTTGTCTCGACATGGCGAGTTGTGCCCCTGACGCGTCACCGTCGTCGCGCGACACGTTGGTCGGACGGCCTCGCTTCCGTTTCTGATTTGCAGTTTCGGGTGCCTTGACATTATTATGTTAACTTGTATTATGTTAACTTGAAATTGGAATGGAATGGAATGAATATGAACTAACCATATTCTTGATTTTTTTTTTAGTCGTTACTGCCCTATTAGAAGAACTAAAGTCGGCAACACCTTCGTATTGTTTGTTGCCTCTACTTCGCCAATAGTAGGTTGTACATACTTGCTATCTTATCGCGATTGACGTATTCTCCTTATCACATTGACACGGTGGCTTAATAATTGTGTAACGCCCTACGGACATGAGGTACCTAAGGGAAGTATTTGGTAGTGGTATCGAATGTTTAGGTATGTACGGTTAGGTACCTCTTGTGCCACAGAGCATGCGGGGCTCAGCGCTAACAGGGATTAGAGTGGGATTTAGTGCTATGGTCAACAAAATAATGCACTGCTAGAGGTGGAGATGGTAAGCTTGGCAAGAAAATGTAGGGAAGCAGGGAAGGATATGGCCATCTTATTCAGTTTTAGCTGTCCGGGGAAGTAGCTGTTGGAAAGACCGGACAGCGTCCTGGGACCCTAGACAATCCGTTACTCGACATATTTTATTTTTCTTCTGTAACTCTCCAGCTGAATAGACTCTACCTCTCTACCTTAGATTCTACGCTTACTCTCTTACTGCCCAGGTAGTTATTCTTTTGCTAGTTCAAGACAGCTGGCCGTTGCAGTTTCGAGATTCAGCCTCATATTGCTATATCATTACATATTCTAGAGGATTCTTCTGTATCTTCTTTCAATTCCTCCAATTGATTTTTACTTGGCCCTATCGTGCTGGAGCAAACTATAGAAAATTACATCATTTTCCCGACCCGTTTGTGGCTTGACCCGATCCCGAGCTATCCACCAGCAGCTTCAAGCTTGACTCCTACTTTGCCATATATTTGTATTTCACAAACTAATAGCAAGCAAAATGCGATTCTCTACCGCCTCAGCTATCCTCGGCTTGCCGTTATTAGCAGCAGCAGATGCCTCTGACTATCAAGCTCACTTTGATAACTACTTGGGCCAGGCCCAGAGCGTTTTGGGAAAAATCACCTCCAAGATTCCTCATCCTAAAAAGTATGATCCTGTCGCTGCTGCTGAAGCTAAGGCTGGCGCCCTGAATATAGACATTCTGTCTTTGGATAACTGGAAGGAGACCCTTTATGGACCCGTAAAGCCAGACGCTACAACTCCAGAGGAGTGGTGGCTTCTGATCACAGGTGGAAACAAGACTTGCTTTGGTAAGGATCTCTACCGTCACTTTGATCCAAGACTCTAGCATCATCCCTAACATTAACTAGGCCACTGTGGAAATATCGAGGCTGTATTCAACGAAACCGCCGGGAAATGGGCTCTGACACCAGGCTCTCCTCATACCGCTCTCCTGAACTGCGAAGACCAACCTGTCCTTTGCAACTCCTGGTCCGCCCCGGTCGGTGCGCTGTGGATCTTCGAGATGCTTCCCGAACCTGCACCTATTAACATCTGGACGAAGCGATTCAACATGACAACTGTCACCTCTGATGATATTGTTGCACTGCAGCAGGAGGGCTACAAATCCTCCGCCAACTTGCATGATGGCTTCTTCCATCCCTTTAATGGCCCTCTAGCCAAGAATGGCCTTTCAGCTCCAGTTGGATGGGCTCTCTGGGTTTTCAACCTTCTCCCTAGCTGGGCGTTTATGATCCTTGTTTCTATGTTCAGCAGGAGCATGATGTGAGTCAATTCAAACCCCGTGATATAGAACAAGTGACTGATAATTGTATAGGAGTAACCGCTTGAACCAACAAATGGATGGCGGACGACAACCTCCTGCTGCCGGCCAAGCTGCCCCCCGAACATAATGGTGATATGTAATTGGCATATTGGACACTCGCTATAAAACTGGCCGTGGTCATGTTGGGATGCAACTCAAGAGGCTTCGTTATTAAGCCTTGTGTATCATTGGGTCGGGGTCACATAGGTAGTGATCTAATAAATGGGAATGTATCGTGATTCACGTCTTGTGTTCACACACGTCCTGCATGCGTCGAAGGCCATCTAGAACCTCGTCTTTTAATTTAGGATTGACGAAACGACCGTACCGGAGGTCGCTCATGTTGCCAACGGCTTGTCTCGTAGACTCAACGAGGGCGGTCTCTTCCTGCTCCATTGCTTGTATCTCATGTTCCATATCAATGATAGCATCGTCCATCGCAGGTAGAATAGTCATTAGAGTATGTTGCTTTGGCTGTACAGTATTGGAGGTAGGTCCGAATAGCTGTGGCTTGAATTAGAGATGATGCCTCAACATCGCATTAGGTAGGGTAATATACCATTCGTTCAATTTCAATCTCGTCATCTTGTTCCTCTAGCTCGGCTTCTCTTCGCGCCTTGATCACCTCTCGGCGTAAAGCTTTACCTTGCTTGACCTGAGCATCGATATTCTGGGATACACCATCAACTACTGCGTTTCGCTGCTGCTGTAAATCCCTATAAAGCGATCGGATCTGTGGAGAAGATTGTTGGGATTTGGGAAATAGAGAGGTGAATTCTTGTAGGGAGATGATTGTAGGTAGGCGAGCTGGGAGGAGTAAATAGTTGCGCAAAATTGTGGCCTCATTTGTTGCCATGGCTAAAAAAAAAAAGAATTAGCTTAAACTACAAAACATACATGTAGGTAGAGAAGGGATTTCGGTAGAATTGATTGTATCCGGTTTAATAGAAGATCTCCTGTTAGGTAATTGGGAAGGAAGAATGGTCGGGATAATGTTTGCGCACCAGGGGGTGAATTGGGGAAAATCACTTTAAAGCAAAGCGCGTCGGAAAACGCGTCCGAGCTTTTGGCGTCAGGAGCGATAGGGTGATAGGGTGATACCTGGTAATCTTTACATAGTGCCTTCCCTCATCATCATGGTAATAAGATCGGCGCTAAGCAACTTTCATAGCTTTCTCTTTCAGCACCAATCTTTCCAAATACATACCCATACTCTATTTATTCATCACTCTTCCTCACGTTAGCTAGTAACACTTACCATTTCGAGCCTTTCTTTATGAGTAGACAGACATCTTTGCCATAAAGCCCCCTTTCATCATCCATCACCCATCATCCATCATCCATCATCCATCATCCATCGTCTATCATCTTTCAGGGTGAATACATCCATCGGCTATGGCTCCCTCAAGGCAGAACCAGGCCCCTCCTTACACCAAGGACGAGAGAGTGCTCTGTTTTCACGGCGATTTAATGTATGAGGCTAAGATTATGGAGGTGGTTGTGAAACCAGGTCAGAAGCCTGAGGATGCTCAGTACCGTATCCACTACAAAGGATGGAAAGCGAGCTGGGACGACTGGGTCTCGCAGGACCGTATCCGCAAGTACACCGAAGATAACAAGCAACTAGCTAGTCAGCTGGAGGCTCAGGCCCGAATGCGAAGCTCTGGCTCCAAGGGAGGAAAGAAGGGTATCAGGGCTAATGGTTCCGAGATGAGTTCTGCTCGAGGTAGTGAAGAGCGTGCTGCTGGATCCTCAAGCTTTGGTGGTAGAGGTCCCCGACGGGGTAGGGATTACGAACTTGAAAACGTAAGTTAATCACTTTCATTAATATGCTCTCCTTTATATCATAACGTATTGGGTCCTGGAGGATGTAAACCCTATATGCCCCCGGTTTGGCATCGGTTTTCTTATTCCTGGATCAACACCCTTTGTCTACAGGAAATAGGGGCTATATATACTCGGCCAAGAAATATGAGATGCGTCATCAGGAATAGCCCTTTAACCAAACCTACCTCGATCATGCTCATGATACCGTCCGTTGAAATAATTCCATGGTCATGGTCGAAGTCAAGAAAAATGTGGCTACGACTTGCAGCTTAATCTATTTGGATATCACCATAATAAATAGGTACTAGTAGTTGCGCGACATAATCTGCGAGGACTTGCCCATGGCCGCTTGATGGAATACGTACCAAGGTCTTTGTCACGCGAGTCGGAGCTGTTAAACTAGGAGGAGTCGTGCAGCATTTTCCGGATAATAGTCATTCTATCCACGTTGCTAGTCAACACTGGGGCAGTTTCGGCGGCGGCTGGCAGCCTTCTCGACTTTGTTCATGCAGGGAAAGAGCATTCTTAAGATTGAGGGGCATAATCAGCCGCCTGTGTCCTGCGAGAAGGGTTTCTCGCATGGGCGCGTTGCCCGGCACGCTTGACAAAGTTTTTCTTCTCTATTCACCGCACAGGCACTATTACCGCACTACGTATGTGAATTTGGAACAGTTGAATTTCTTCTTGTCGAAACCCAAGTATATTTCTCCGCAACAAACCGCGAATCTTTAACGATCTTGCTTCGTTCCGCCACACCACCCCCGGGTAGCAACAATGGAGACCAGAAAGAGGAAGCGTATAGTCTCGATTAATGATTACGAGCTCCCGCGCAAGCGAACTCGTAGTCAAAAGACACTACCCAAGCTCACTGCCTCTGATGACAATAAGGCAGCAACTGACAAAGACCCTGGTATTGCGGATCCTGCGCCCCCCTCTACTGCAATGGTCACACCATCTCTATCTCCTGCCAAATTGGATCCTAAACCCAACACCACATCTAAAAGCAAGAAGACAACCAAGATCGTACTCAAAATAGCCCCTAAGAAGCTTGTTGGATCTGAAAAGGCACCCGCGAAACAGTCGTCTGTTGTACCTATGTTGACGAGTCGGACTCCAACCACGAACACCTCTAAAAAGGAACTCTCCGTCGCTACTGATACCCCTTTGAAAGCCCCCTTACCTGTACTGCCAATGTCTTCGTCTGGGCTATCTGTTGCGGATAAAGATGTTGTAAAACGTCAAAAAGCCTTCATGCAGAAAGAACAGCGACTCGCCCGCGGAGGAGAGGGAGTGGATTTCCTTCTTCGATTACCAACCTCTAGCTTCAAATACGTCACCAAGACAGGCAAACTCTCTCAGAATATCCGCTACAGATCTTCTTCCCCCGCCCCCGAACATCCTAAAATCCAGGAAGCAGGAAAAAACGGCACAATGACCCGTGAGAAGGACTACTGGTACCGAGGAATGCCCCGCAACGTGAAAATACCTACAGCCGGAATACCATCGGACAAGTCTTATGCTACCCTTCATGCCGATTCCGTAAATCTAGAACTTGTCTAATATTACCAGGGTCTTGATGCTAACTCTGTTTTTTTCTAGGAGGACGCGTTTCACTCTAGGCCTTCTATCAAGCTTTTTGTTCCTGACATTCTGAAGGCGATGCTAGTTGATGATTGGGAGAACATCACAAAGAACAACCAACTTGTCCCCCTCCCTCATCCTCACCCGGTGACGAAGATCCTCGAGGACTACGCTGCTTATGAGACCCCGAAGCGCCCTGGCGGCTCCTCTCACGTGGATATCCTTGAGGAGACCTTGGCGGGCCTGAAAGAGTACTTCGACAAGTCCCTTGGCCGTATTCTCCTCTATCGGTATGTTGCGCTTCCCTCAGCCGGGAACAATGTTCTAACTATAGATAGATTCGAACGTGCCCAATATGCAGAAATGTACCAGAAGTGGATATCCGAAGACCCCGAGTATCAAGGCAAGACTGCAAGTGACACCTATGGTCCTGAGCACTTGATGCGCCTAATTGGTAAATTATCCTTTCGCATCAGCCTATGACTGGAAGCTAATTATACACAGTGTCCTTGCCGGAGCTTGTTGCTCAGACAAACATGGACCAGCAATCGGTCAACCGTCTACGCGAGGAACTAGTCAAGTTCTGCACCTGGCTGTCTAAGAACACAACAGAGTACTTCGTCAGCCATTACGAGTCCCCCCCTCAGGACTACATCCAGAAGGCCAAGGATTGATTTGGTGGCGGTCATTTGGCTCTGTTGATGATTCCTACTACCTGCAATTCTTCATTTAGCATATTCCGCCAAGCATTGTCTTCTCAAGGGACGAAGACCGAAATACCATTTGCCGCACCGATATCTTTGGCACCTCTAGCTCTGGAACGTTATTTTCGGTTCCCCTTGTACAAATACTAGATTTCTTCTGGTCGATGCGAAAAGCTTGCCGTTAGGGCGTTTTACTAGGTTACCTAACGTACCTAATGTAACAGTGCCCCAGGAGAAATGATTCATGCACTTGTAGCATAAAGGAAGGATATTTGCGGTATTGGTCTGGACGCGTACTTTGAGGTTGCATTTGATTTTGCGATGGTTTTGTTTTCTTTTAATAATAATAATACATTGGCATTTCCTTACATAGGTACCTTAGGTACTCTGAAGCACCATGCTACGTTAAGTGACCGTCTAGCTTGATTTAGGTACTATTACAATATGTTCCTGCCTGCTAAACAGACCGGGGCTGCTAGAATTATTAAGGCTATGCCATGAAGCAAGTTATTGGTCTTAATTCTTTCCATGTCCATATTGATTCCTATAAAATACAGCATTCATCCTGTCCTGTTATTGATCATAGAACATTTGGCCTAATTACTACCAGGAGTTGTGAGGTCCACAGTGACATGCCTGCTTTTGACTATTGAACATGAGTTTAAACTATCATGGCAGAACTAGACTCTATCTGGGGGATATATGTTCAGCGGCGTGTTATAATGAGGTAACTATTGATAGGTGACAATGACGATAGCTAAGCCATGACCAAAAGATATCCACCACTGTACAAGGTTTATGTCTATTACAATACCTTGCACCTACCTGCTCTCTGTTTTCTTCATAAGCTAATTACTTATTAAACCACCACCTACAACCTATCATCCTTGTTTCGTTGATGATGCTGTTGTTTCAGATGAGCCTCTTGCTATGCTATACGGCAAGCCCGTCGCTATCTACATTTTCCCCTGAAGATCCACCAAGTCCTCTAACTGCGAACAGAGCCTATAGATGTCCCTGAAGTGCTGTTCAAACTTATGCCTAGTTGTAGTGGTCATATTCCGTTCTGGTCAGAAGCATCTTATTCCCATGTGTCAGGATTCTAGATGAGACGCTCAGAACGAAGGACAGGCTCAGTATGTATAGGCATAGGCTCCCGTAGTTGAGTTAGGGTTCCTCGCTGAATAACGGAGTTGTTTCCATGCTGTCTAGTTCCACCTCGTGACACAATGTGAGTACATTTGATGTGGTCGATAAAGTCGACTTCGATGACTACCTATTCAGTGAGTCTTTCGGAGTCTCCTCGAGAGTATCTCCAAATCCTCTTAGAACCAGGTCAGCGGCCTTGCTGCACCAAGCTTTGGCCGTTTCGGTATTTTCTTGGTGAATTATAGCTTTCCCGAATAAGAGGCCTTTCGGTCAATTGAATGGTCCTTTTTTGTAGAGGTAGGTGGAACCGGGAGTAATGGTTGTTCTTTTCCCGCATTGTATAATATTAAACTGGGTATAGGGGGTAGAGAGAAGTGGCTCTCCTTCCTGATCTTGACAGCTGCTGACGCCAAGAAAATAAACTGTCCACAGTATCTTCTCTGCGCCGAACACCCCCTGTTGGCCTAATGCGGGTGACAGTCGGAGCCTTTTAACGTCGTTGCTCGGGACGCATTGGAGTTTTGTTATTGCCTTTCCGGTGTTTTCCCATTCTTTATAGACGTTCCTGTGAATATGACATCTTTATCTCGGGTAAGTCCTGTAAGACTTCATCTTAGCCTACGCAGTGGCTTATTGTTAGTATACATTAACTTTTGAGTTTTAAGGTATGATTATAGTTATAGACTCACCTAGGGTAGATCAAGTATTCCTTAGGACGGCCTTTTTTGGATTTGCTGAAGGTCATGCCTGATCCTCGGCCATATTTGGCGGTGTATTATTTTAGACCATGCAGTTGCTAATCATCATCGTGTAAGTTATAGTGCCCCAGTGTATGATTGAGGTAATGAACTTACTTGGTGGTTAGTTTAGTGACACCAAGACAGTTAGATGAGGCACTTTTCCCTTCTCCCCCCGAAGACTGAGATAAAACCAAGGGGAATTATTCGATGTTGTTCTATTGCCGGCAAGACAACATTGAAATGTGATTATGGACCACAGATAACTAGACACTGCCGAAACTTTTTAACGTCATGTCCAGGACGCTCGTGAGTTAGAAAAAAGCCGTGAGATAATACCTTAGTGATGTTGTTGAAAAGACTCTAAGTGGTGTAATTGTATTGGCTAGCGCTGTCGGCTATAGGTATACGCGTGACCTGAAATATAGAATGGGAACGCTAGATGAGCTAATCAAATTCAACTCAACCTCAAGTATGTCTTGTTCTGCTGTAAAGGTCTGTTGCTTTAGGTCGTCGCTTCTTAGTGTTGACGGAAATGTCGTAGTTATCCTAGAATATATAGTCTGTGGTGGCTTGCTGAAACTTGTTGAGCTTGTTTGTAGGTTCCAAGCTTTGAATATCGCATTGCTTAAGTTACTTTGATGAGAGACTTGGGAGGTCCTAGAATGGAAAGGGTGAGTTGGAGAAAAATCTAACTGATGGGAAAGGAAGAAAATTGCGAGTAATTTGATGAGACTTACCATACATCAATTTTGGCGAGATAGAATGCCCAGATGCTGTATATCTTAGGCTTCTACTCAAGCGCTGTGTATTTGTTAGTTGTCACAGTTCGCGCAAAATCTTCGTCATAGCTTTCTTTAAAGTCTCCTTGTTTCTTGCGCTCGAAGTTGATGACTTACTAAGGTCGTAGTTGCGAAGACCATCGGGCAATACAACTTAAATACCTAAGGTAGCAACGTTACCTAGTTAGATTAGGATAACATAGTAATGGGAACGGCGATCATGGTGATAATTATGTGCGAAGGCGATAGTGTAGAATAATAGTGTGAGGAATGAACCCTAGGAAAGGTAAGTGGTAGGGAGACTAATAGTGATAGAATACTAGAGCAGAAACTTGGAGGTTTGTAGAAAGAGAATGAATCAAGAAGGGAAAGTGTTGACCTTGATGATGAGATGTTATGGACAAAGAGGGAAGAGGGGTGGTAGGAGGAAGGTAAGGCTTAAATAATATTTAGATATTTGAGTGTTTGTGTGTGAAGGTAAATAATGGAAGGATCCGGAACACCAGTAGTGGGGAAGTGGCCAACACATCCACCGGCCGACCAGGTAGAAAGACAACCGTGGACGGTCGGCAATGGGAAGAGGCATCACTATAGCGATGTAGCAAGGAAGTTGCTGACAGAGAGCGGTATTGGGGGGGGAGGGGGATCTTCTGGCCAAATCGGGTATCCTGGTAGGTATATAGGAGGGAAGTTGCCCATAGGGAAGGAAGCAGTATTGAATTGGAAGAGATCCGGAGGAGATCCGGAAGGTCTCCGGGATTAGTGAAGTTAGCAACCGAGAGAAGGGCCGATGCTCCGGTCAAGAGCCGGATGATACGACAGAACTTTCTAAATGAATTTATTAGTCCAAGTAGTCGATTAAGATGGCTTTGGTTCATAGTAGAGGTATAAATCTCATAGGCCTGTGTGAAATCTAATAAATGGTTGAGGAAACAAAGAGTGGTATAACACGAACAGATGTGATTCTTGAATTCACATGGCTTCACAATCGCGTACGGGAAATATACTAGATGCCTCCTAATCGTCGTTTCCCATTTTGGCTCTGTTCTTATGCTTTTGGTAAACTATCTAATCTAATATGGTATACAATAAGAATGTTTATATACGCGGACATGATCGTCCAAGGCTATACCGTTTTATTGGTAATTCATTTATATTAGAACCATGAATTTATTAGGTTACTTGATTTTACCAAATGCCATTATGATTCTTTACGTTAGGTCGTTGTGGTTTTAAACTTAGACTTTTTTTTTTGTCTGGAGTTGATGGAAATACGAATGGGAATAGGAGCAGAGGCACTGCTAAATGACCCTACATAAACAAATAGAATGTGAATGTTTTACTGTATTGATTGTACATTATATGTACATGGCCTAAGTTCTAAGTGCCCTCCCGTATTAAGCTGAATGCTCATAAGCCTTTCTATTCGACCACAGATGGCCAACGGGAATAGCTCTGAGTTCGTAGGTAAGGCGAGCTTGCGAATCCCCTAACAATATGCCCCGAACCGTTGCCTCTTACCGGTAACGATTCTAGCCGATGTTACCAGAAAGACACCCGCATCCTCGCACGTTCTGTTATATTGACCTCCTCTCTGCCACCCTATTCCTCCCTTGTCTTAAGTACCTAATATCCGCCGCTCCTCGCACCAAGCCAGAATATCACCGCGGCACGGCCTTCTCGATCCAGAAACCAGGCTCCGGTTTTCGCTCTTCGCGCAGCTCCTTGGGCGTAAGCGCGCGGTCGACCTCGGACACTTTGACTAGCTCTTTGACCTTAAGGATCATACCCGCCGACTGCGAGGATACTGGCTGGAACACGGTTTGCGAGCGTTTGCGCAGGCCGAGCGCTGCTAACACGCCGCGCGTGCGTTCTGGTAGACCGATGGCAGACCGGTGAAGTGTTATGCGAAAGTAAGACATCTTATCTTCTTTCCCTTTCTTATTCGCGTGGGTAGATGGATCGAGTTGGGAGAGTCGACGATCAGGTCGTAGGGCCGATTTGACTGATGTGGTTGTTAGTTGATGTCTTGGAAGGGAATAATACTATATACCTTTTTGTCACAGGCAACTATCCCGGCGCTTTGCAAACCGACGGGCTTACGCGAATCAGACGTCAATATCGACAATTGTAGTTGTCTTTGCGAAGCTTAACATTGAAATGCCGACTTTTAAGTGGGCCACCCGAGGTTTTGCCAACTGCGGGCTTTACGAAGTACATGATTGAATGCCTTACATAAGCTGGGATATAAGCTGGGACATACCATGAGATCAGCGTTTTAAAGAGAAAACATTGCAAAAGAAGCACGAATGTAGGTTAGTGTCATGCAAACACTTTATAGACTGCCTCTTTAAATATCACAATTCTTTGGCCAAGATTACTAAAAAACACCAACAAGGAGTTTTACGACTTGGTATTATGCTACAAACATGCTCTGACCATGCGTCTGCTGAACTAAATGGTAAATCTCCGCTCATCATCAGCCTCGACCTGACCTTTTGAGGTAGCTATCTCTACCTCTGTGTAACTATCTAGCAAAACTCTTCCCATTTAACACGAGAACAAACGCATCGAAATGCGATACCTCTAAATACGCCATGGACTATAACAGTTGTCTATCTATTTCACGGAAACCTCCACCCTGCCTTCACCTACGGGTCCGGTATTCGACAGAGTCGGGAGCAGGTAAGTGATGTCATCCCAAGGATGCCTGTATAGACTAGTACGCAATCTCTTCTGGTCAAGATAATGGGCGATCAGACCAATGCTGCGGCCTAAGACGAATAGACCGTTCAAGACTCCCATCTTCATGTAGTCTTCAGCCTCTTCGGCGCTGAAAGCACCGCAGCTCCTCATGAGGTCCACGAAGCAGACGGCAACGCAACCATCAACATTGAGAATGAGGTTGTCCTTCTTCGAGGTGGTTACTGTCTCGACAGCCAATGCGTAATCTAACAACTTGTGACTGGGGAACTTGGCCAACACGTATTCCTTGACCAACTCTACACGGAGATCAGGGTTGTTCCGCGACTTAATACGGTGACCAATACCCGGGATGAGCTTGTTTTGCTTGCGCATAGAGTCGACAAATTCACGAGGACTGAGGCCGTTGTCGGCAGCCTTGGTGAACTCCTCGGCAGCACCGTCAAGCGCACCACCGAAGCGGGAACCAATGGTGAGGAGACCGGAAACTAAAGAGCTGATGAGATCCTTACCGGCGCGGGTGGTGATAATGGTGTTCATAGCGCCAGAGACCGCAGGACCGTGGTCAGCAGTAAGCATGAGAACCATCTCCAGGAACTTGGAGGCGTAATCAGGCAGACGACGACGGAACCAGAGGAGAGACATAACACCACCAATACCAATGTCCTCCCTGAAGACGTCAGAAATAGGCATGCCGGCGTAGAGAAGCTCCTGTCCACGGTCATCAGAGATAGTGGAGATAAAGGCGGCAGGCTTCCGGATGAGACCAAGCTCCTGGGCCCAAGAGTAGTCGATGGGAATCTTAGGAACAACGGGTTCCGGCTGAGGGATAATGGTCTTCTCTTCGACAAGCTTCTTGTAGACAGAAGCGAGAACTTGAGGGAGATCTTCGAATGTTTCAGGGACGTAGAATCCCGCCTCCTTCATCTGCTTGTTCTTCATAGCCGCAGTCTCGAGCTGTGAGTTGGCGAAGGAACCAGCGTGACCAAATTGAACCTCCGTCTTGAACATGCTCGCGCAAGTACCGATGGCCCATGCGACAATTGGCTTAGTAATAATACCCTGCTTCACTGCGTCGATGACCTTGTATTCTTCAACACCGCCAACTTCACCAAGCAATAGAAGAATCTTGCACTCGGGATCTTGCTGGTATCTCAACATGTGGTCAATGAATGTGGTTCCCGGGTATCTATCACCACCAATAGCAATACCCTCATAAACACCATCGGTGTTTTGTGAGATGATGTTGTTTAGCTCGTTCGACATACCACCAGATTTGGAGACATAACCGACGGAGCCCTTGCGGTAAAGCTTGGAAGCAACGATGTTGTCCATCATACCACCAGTATTACCAATCTTGAAACTACCTGGCTTAATACCACCAACGGTAGCAGGGCCAATGATAGTCACACCCTTTTGCCGCGCGACGTGGGCGATTTCTCGTGCTCGCTATTACGTGAGTTAATAAATGGCTGATCAGCTAAAACTATTTGCAGTGTTCACTTACTCGTTCAGGCACACCTTCCGCAATAATAGCGATGGTCCTAATTTGAGGGTATTGCATCAACTCCATCGTCGAGCTGAAGACACTTCGCGAGGAGGCGAAGTTGACTACAACGTCAACATCGGGGTGTTTAGCCACCGCCTTGGCGGTCTCCTGGTAAACCGGGAGAAGAGTCTCGCTGGTTCCCCAGTACATCTTGCTGACGAATTGACCACCAAAAGTGTAAATGATACCTGCAACTGACGGCGTGGGCCTCTTGCAGATGAAGTCGAAGTCAAGCATGCCCTGGACAGCTCGGTTCTGGAGACCGTAGACAAAGCATCTTGTCTTGTCGTTGAACAAGGCGTGTGCGGGGAGGGGGCTGAGAGGCCGGCTAGGAGCAGCGAAGCGAGCGATATTATCGTTTGCAGACAAACCACCACTGGCGGTGCCATTTACACCGTTGGCCGCAGCTGAAGACATCTTCGTCGTATGAAACCCGCAAAAACTTGTTCTGTAGAGTTGGCGATCAAAGTTAGCTACGGACGTCTCATAACTTGGTTTGAATGCAGATTATAGAATATAGGTTTGCTAGCAGAGGGGGGAATCACTTGGGCTATTCAGCAGTAAACCAAGCTTTGGGATTCTCGGTGATTTTCAGAACGGCCGATTCAGCCCGTCTCTGCACTGGAAGGATTCAGTAGGACCGCCAGCGCCAAAGCTGAGCAATGCCAATTGAATCGGACCGGCGAAAGACTAAGCTAAGGTAGTTTTGATGAAACATGGACGATGCAAGGAAAATGACTACGAATTGAAAAGGGAAGTGTTGTAAACCCGACATACCTTAATATTGGAATTCACCGTGTCGTCGCCCCAGGAGCTGCACAGGTGTTAGAACAGGTGTTAGACGGAATTGCAATCACCAAGCTAATGGCGAGAGAGTCTATCACGGGAAAAGGGAATATTGGGAATGAAATGTGTATTGAGAGGAAGGGAGAAGTTGACTTGATGGGCTACGGATAGCGATAGAGATTATTTTTCTCAGTCGAAGTTGATTGATGCTGCTACCGCGAAAGGCTCAACAGCGGGGAAAACGGGGTTGGGATATGCCGGGTAAGACTGAGACCTGAGATATACAAGATACATAGATACATACGTACCGTTTAGCGTTGAACCGTTGAAGGACGATAAAAATAGGAAAAGGAAAGCGACGCAACCGCAGCTTCCTTCCGTTTCTATGCAATAGACCTGGGTTTGTTGCTGTCACGACGTAAAAAGAGAGTCCACAGAATGTCCGGTAAAAAAAAGGTCTTTGCCCGGATCAGTTGGGGTAAATTTTTATGTGTGTTGTTGAATTTGGACCCCTTTTCGCCAGAGTCGATAGCCTGCACGCTACTATGTCGGTGCTGCCTTGTTGGTCCAATTATGGTGCATCTTTGACTTCCGATGGACTGAACGACCCTGTTGATCCTGCGCAAGCCTGCTTATGTTGGCAACTTGAAATTCGCTGGTTGGGCATATCTGATGAGACCACCCCACCTAAAGCTTCAGTAGTGAAGTACCATTAAATGGTACGTAGCTGGAGTATCAATCCCCGCCCTTTGAGGCCCCGGTTTTTATGTACCGGTACCGAGATCTTAACATCGACTTCTATCCTCACCCTTTATCATATTACATACGTCTCTCGTCTTATTTATCTTACCACCCTAGACAAACAGCAAGCCGACTGAGCTTCCTTCGTCCGGATCAGCAAGGTGTATGTATCCACCATGCACCAAGAACACCTGTGATAAATGCAAACGAGAAGAAAGATTGTCATTCATGACTTACTGAAGAAGAAATGAGTCAATATCAAACCTAGGAAGACCAGACGGGATTTTCGAACGTGTAGACAAGCATCATTCACTTGAAAGAGGATGTGTACATATTGCATCCATCTAAGTGGCCCACCGGCATTGGGGAATATAGTAGGTAATACTATAATTCACTCACTTTCAAGGGGATTTTTTTTTTGTTGCCGGAGTCCCCAATATCCAACTCCGGGGTAAAAGTCCGTTACGGACATTTCGTTGTGGGACGTTCCATGACCGATAAAGATAGATAGCGATGTGATACTCGCATTGCGAATTACTCCATCGTCTCTCAGCTGAGGCTGTCTGACAGCTTTGTCATAACAGACAACTTTGTCATAGTAATGGATTTGGATCATGAAGGATTGGACACTTCCAATGCTGACTGATCCTCGATCCCTTCTAACTTCGAAACCCGAATGATAAGCCCGATCTGCCAATGATAAGACAAGACCCGGCCGGACCTCGATATTGATGATATAGGAAAGATCCTGTTGGAAGAAGCGATGCAGATAACAGACAGCTTATGGCTTGCTTGTCTTTAGCAGAAGTGGCTCACTGCTTTTAGGTACCTGAGGTATCCAGGTATCTCAAACTGAGAGTAGCGCGTGTATGGAATTCTTGCGAAATGCGTGAATACAGCCGTGTAAGAGATAAAGATTACACGTCGGTACCCGGTGGCATAGATTATGGGATTGCAGATGACCGTGGCTGTTTGTGTTGGGGTACCGGTACAAAAACGCTTCTCCGATTGCTGACGAAGGCTACCGGGATCGCCCCAATGGTTTTGGCGAGATATTGTCCGTCCCTGTAGGATACATCGTCTAGCGCCCCTCCAAAACTCAATTTAGGTACCCACTTGCACCCACCAAGTACCAGGATCCACTGAGTTTAGTTGGGCACAGACCAGACAGCAGTGCCTTGTACCGAAAAGTGGAATGAGGTTTTCCAAGGGTTCTGGGCAAAAGAAAAAAAAGGACGGAACCTGGACCTGCGTTGGCGGGGAGCTTCGCACCGCACCGCATCGTACCGCACCTTCATAGTCTTTTCGAGGGACCAATCTTCAATCTTCCAATTTCTTGCTGTTGTTGTTGCAGTCAACATTGTCGCTTTTGCAATCAAAACTCTCCCCAACCTTCACCATAATCCCCCCTGGTCGTACCGTAGTCTCCATATCACTGGGTTGAGAGAGATTCAGTTGTGACAAGGTAAGAGAAAAAGAAGACGGCCTTGCCAATCCCCTCATTCTGCGGGCCTGTCTATCTGCACCGAGTTCTCTGCACCGAGTTCTCCTGTACCTTTATCCTCCAAAGTTCGAACTCTACAAGTCCAAATTTTATCTCTTCCCTTCCACACTTGTGGTTTCATTTGAAGACAGAGAAAACGCAGTTGCTGATTGTACCTTCTAGAAACGATCTCGACAATTGAATATAGAGTGTAATTGAGCACATACCTCTTTCGTATAATTCGTTTCTCTCGCCACAATGTCCGCAAAGGCAATCTTCGAGGCCGACGGCAAGGCCATTCTTAACTACCACCTCACTCGCGCTCCCGTCATCAAGCCGAGTCCTCTTCCCAAGCCCACGACGCACAACCCGCCGCCGAAGCTGGCCTCACTCTACTTCCCCGAGGATGCCGACGTGAACGCGGTGCTGAACCAGGCCGAGATCACGTACCCGTGGTTGCTTCACAGCGACGCCAAGTTCGTTGCAAAGCCTGATCAGCTGATTAAGAGGCGAGGCAAGAGTGGTCTTCTGGCCCTTAACAAGCCCTGGCCTGAGGCGAAAGAGTGGATTGCCCAGCGCGCCGGCAAGGCACAGAAGGTCGAACACACCGAGGGTGTTCTGCGCCAGTTCCTTGTGGAGCCCTTCGTACCTCATCCCGATGGCACTGAGTATTACATCAACATAAACTCAGTTCGAGATGTAAGTGCAGTACCCCATTTAAGCATTTTGCGTTGTTTTTGTCGAGCTTTGTTTTATGTCCGATGCTCTTCATCGGGCGAATTATTTCAACAGCAACCAGCCAGTGCGTAGCTGCGAAGACACGGGACACCCGAAGATAAGGACGTTAAAGTAAACAAGGGAAATGAGGAGAAATACGAACCGTATCCAGGAAGTCTTGGAGAGGTTGCGTTCTTATCACTTATGAAATTATTATGTGCACCAAAATGGCTACTGCCGTGCTCTTATTTGATTGGGAATCCAGGAGTGAGCCGGTGTGTACGGGCGAACGGAAGGCTAAACCATATGCGCTCCTGTTGCATCCACTTCCCCCCTTCGCCCACCGTACCAACAACACATACCAGCCTTGCTCACACGTGTTATCTCTGAAACAAATGCTATCGACCAATCAACTTCAGAATTACTGACTAATTCATTAATAGGGGGATTGGATTCTCTTCACCCACGAAGGTGGTGTCGACGTTGGTGATGTCGATGCCAAGGCCGAGAAGCTGCTCATTCCTGTTGACCTTTCGCAATATCCCTCTAACGAGGAGATTGCCAACACGCTGTTAAAGAAGGTCCCCAAGGGTGTTCACAATGTCCTAGTTGACTTCATTACCCGTCTATACGCGGTATACGTTGACTGCCAGTTCACCTACCTAGAGATTAATCCCCTAGTTGTCATCCCCAACGCCGCTGGCACCTCAGCTGAGGTTTATTTCCTCGATCTTGCTGCTAAGTTAGATCAAACCGCCGATTTTGAGTGTGGCGTAAAATGGGCCATCGCGCGGTCACCTGCAAACCTGGGCATTACTGCTGTCTCTAGCGCTGGTGACAAGGTCAGCGTTGATGCTGGACCTCCCATGGAGTTCCCCGCGCCTTTTGGTCGTGAACTTACAAAGGAGGAAGCTTATATTGCTGAACTGGATGCTAAGACCGGTGCTTCTCTGAAGCTCACTGTCCTAAACCCTAACGGCCGCATCTGGACTCTGGTTGCTGGTGGTGGTGCTTCCGTCGTCTATGCTGATGCTATCGCGTCTGCTGGCTTTGCCGACGATTTAGCTAACTATGGTGAATACTCTGGCGCCCCCACTGAGTCTCAGACCTACTACTATGCTCGTACCGTCTTGGATTTGATGCTGCGTGCTCCTATGGACCCCAAGGGCAAGGTTCTGTTCATTGGTGGCGGTATTGCCAACTTCACAAATGTGGCGTCCACTTTCAAGGGTGTTATCCGGGCACTTCGCGAATATGCTAAGCAATTGAACGAGCACAACGTCCAAATTTGGGTCCGTCGTGCCGGCCCCAACTACCAGGAAGGTCTCAAGAACATGAAGGCTGCGACACAAGAGCTTGGCCTAAACGCCAAGATTTTCGGCCCTGAGATCCACGTTTCTGGTATTGTGCCACTTGCTCTCGTCCCTGGGCGATGGGAAGAAAGCAAATTACAAGAGTTCCAGGGTTAAACGCCGATATCAGAATGTATTAATCTCAGTTTCCCGATTTAAGGCGTAAAACACGTACAGATATGGGTATGATGGGATGGTTTTATATGTGACTACCCAGCCACGGTTGTGTACGCTCGAGGGTAGAGGATCGGATCTAGTTATCATAGACCTGATTGTTGAGCGTGAAACTCTAGATGATACTAGTTTTACTAGTTATAGATGCCTTTTCACGAGTCAAATACAATAGACTGGCGTAATTCCCCATGTCTTTCTGCATTTATTTATACAAGTCCAAAGAACCTCATATCATGCTGTGTTACGTGAATGCTAACTGCTGCAATATTTGCAGCATGGCTTCCGCTCCTTAAATCCTACTAAATGCGTTGATAATAAATAACTCTCGAGATTCAATGATGTCACCAAATCCACCAGCTATCGTGTAAATATTGTCCAGACAAAAGAAACGGCTTACGTTCTAACAACTTCTATCTATTGTACTTACAGCTTTAATTCGGCCTAGTCATCACTACTGATATATTTTGAACAATCCTTACAGGTGGTTCTATAGTATTAGAATAGGTTGGTCACCCCATGGGCCCATCTAAAATATCATAAGTGTGGCATATCATATATTTACGTCCCACAACATTGAATAAAGAACTTGGGGCGGACAATCTTTAACTTAATAGCCAAGGCTGAATTTCCTAGAATAACCCCTGTGTATTACCATACTCAAGCGCCTAATAATCCACCGGTTTGATTAATGAGCATAATAGCCACCTATGCAAAACTGAATCTACCCCCAAAGGAGGCCAATAAATGTTAAGCTAAAGGAGTATAAATACTTCTTAAGTTATATAGTGATTTTCCATTGACTATCTACCAATTATTTCAATCTTAGGATATAAGTTAAGCTCTCTTACTATTTTCTCTAAGAGTTATAAACCCAACTCTGTGCTATGGATGATTCTAACATCTATATTGGGACTTGGATTAACCGGTCCCGTGGTTCGGTCCTGGGTTCAACTCTGACTGTCACCCGTGATAACGGAAATCTCCTTCTTTCATTCACAGCCTTTTTTTTATCTCATTTGTGGCAGCCCGCTTTTGGCGAATCTTTTGTTTAGTATTCTATAGGTGCTACTCCAAACCAACATCACAGGATGCCATATATCATCAACGCCAACTCATTTTACGAAACGCTTCAACTGCAGAGACTGGATTATTAGCGTTCTTGAATCTATCATGGGCCTGGCGAACTATCCAGAATGTGCTTTCCCGGATCATCCCCGTCATTATATTTGCTACTTTCTCCATATGCTCTTTTACCATAGCCGGCGGCTTTTCTTCTAAAATACCAACGGATATCATCGTCTTGATCAGCAGATATAGTTGAATTGCAACTTTGAAAAATACACCAAAGGTCACCTATTCAACAAGCTTGAGCTATGGGAGGGTATTAATAGGGGCTTTATGATTAGCATGTATATAATACGAGACCGTTTACTTGGTGTTGCCTTGCCGGGACTAACGGGATGAGCCTTCTTTTAGCAATTTCATTTTAGAATAAATCGAAAACATCCTCCATTGGTTCACTATTCATATGCATAATAGACAAGACTAAATTATAACATCAAAGTTATAATGATTAGCCAAAAATTCATCGGGAGGAGACCTACGGACGTGAGTTTCGTTAGTGTATAAGTCTTTGTAGTCCCAGACTTTTTAGAGTCGTCGTTTTCGCTATTAGTGCCGGCGGAAGATGTGGGTCTGACCGGACTCCCGACCCCTGGCGATTTCCCGGGCATTGTCAAGCAGGTAGCCGCTTTGGATGACTCTTGCTTTCCTATACCACCGCTTAACTTCCCGCCGATACTTGCGGCTACAGCTTCTGAGTCTCGTAGCATAAAGTTAGCTATGCCATTAGCGTCTACATCAACCGTATGCTCGTCGTCTGAGACTTGTGTAGGAGTGCCGTCCCCATTCTGCTCGAAGCTGATTCCGTTCCACGTAGTATTCTCGGTTGATTCTGCCCCTGGGCTTGTTAGGTACGATAGATAAACGGTCTGACCCGCTGTGGAAGGTGGTAACTGCAATTGCACGGCAATACCATCCTTGTGATCCTGCGAGCTGTTGACCATCTTGCCGTTGACGACGACAATAGATGCCAGTTGCTCTTGTTGGTATATGGCGTATGCCCGCAAGAATCCATCGTACGATGGAGGATACAGAGGAATCTGGTACTGGGAGACTCGTGCCGCGCATAAGCGGCCGATGACTTGGTCGAATGCCGCTATGCCGTAGTATAGCGGTCGGACGTGTGGTTGTTGCCCATACATAGGGATCGGCAACCATGCACTTGCATTAGAGTTGCCTGTCATATGTAGTCCTACTGAGGCGATCCCAAAGCTAGAGGCGTACAGCAGGAAATTCAAGGCCCAGAGGGCAGTTCCAAAAACATCAGTCACCCCTGCGAGGCCTATGGGACCGACGACTCCCATCTCTCGTAACGCATACGGATACCCAGTTTGCTGCGCTTGCTTGACCTGTTCAACCCAGGCTTCGAATTGGTCTTCTGTTTTCTGCAGCTCCATGAGTCGTTCAAGTGATACGGGATACCCCGAGACGCCGACGTAATAGTAGTAATCATGCTGATTCCAACCGCTCAGATAACGAGTTGTGGAACCGCTAGCTTCCGCGGAGATGTTATAGCTCATAAGGTTAGCTATTTGGAAATCCGTCCCGAGCGTCGAAGCAGTAGCCGCGGCCTCGAAGAAGTTACTCGTGATACCATTATGTTGTAGAACCTGCTTATGTATTGCAGAGGCTCGTTCTAGCTACTGCTGGGTGTAGACTTGGCCTCCCCATTTACCTATTCGAAAGCCATTCTGTAAGTAAAGATCCGGCTCATTTCCGATTTCAAAAGATGTAATGGCCAGATTTGGACAACAGCATATAGCATGCTTCGCCATTGTCGTAATCTGTTCAATGTAGTCATCTTGTTCATATGCCAAATTCAGACCCCAGGTCACAGTTGTGCCTCTTGGCAGGCGGTTCGCTGTTTCAAAGAAACGGTGCCCGATTATCATGCTATTAGGCTTAAGATTCTCTAAACTAAATGGATATTTATTCTGAATCCATGTCCACTCGCTTTGCGATTCATGGAATACCATATAATCTTGCATGTTCCCACCAATACGAACATGTGGTGGTTTTCCAGTATAACTCTCAAGATTGCCGAGAAGATTGAGGGTAAAAGTATTCGGTTCTTCTGCACCTAAGAATGAAAAGAGATTTGAAGGCTCTATACCGAACCCTGCAAACGATGGATCTACTGGCGAAGAGGTGTTCGGAGGGGGCGTGGCGGAAGGCTTGAGCGTTATGTCCATATTTGTTGCCGCGAATCCAGCACAAAACAGATAACAGGAAACAAAAACTACCCTGGCCAGCTCCATTGTCTGACTAAATATAGTATCAAGCGAGAGAGAAAAGTGAAAGCGAAATTAAGGAGGGACGAAAAATGACACAGCCCCATGATTATCTTTAGGTATTAGTGAAAATCGTCGGCACATTATCCGTACGGTATAGTAGGCAATACAAACTGAGCGAATAAATACCTCTTAATGACAGATTTAGTCGTAAGATCTGTGAAAGATACCGTGTTCATCAAATTCCTCAATGACGTATGTAGAAATAGAGGCATGGATCCCATCATTCGAGATTAAGTGTAACTTTTCGGGATGCACTGATGACAGCTGCATGCAGCTACTTATCACAACGTTTCCGTGATCAAGTACATAAAACTTTAACTTTATGTAATAGGGAGTGAGGGACATCATGGTAAATCCTTGATATATGAACCTACGTCCTAGGTGCATGTAGGAAAAGAAACAGCGTGTGGAGGTGGAAGCTTTTATATGGCAACGCAATCTTGCATTACACCACACAATATTGCAGCATCAGGCATTGCAGTGGTTTTAAACTTTCTACTGATTAGTTGCATGCAGAGAAAACCCATACATTTTGATTTATGTTGCCTATATCTGCGGTTGGCCGAGTGAAAGCGTGTTTTTGTAGAAATTTATGTTGGAAAGGTTGGAGTTGTAACTATTGGGGAGGCAATTAGAACTTCTGTGTAACGTCTATTTAGATAGTATAACAGTACCTCTGACTATTAACTAACTAGTTGTAATCTCTCTATACTTTAACGGTGTAGATCCGATTATTACTATATGTATTATTATTATATGTAGGTACTCAATCGTCCCTTTATACACTACGTCCCCAATTAGGTATACTAGATAGGAACTGTATATGCACCTTACATCAATATAAGTCTAATACGTGTTAGTGAATACGTCGCGCCTTGGTGATGTGAGGGGAATGTCATATGTATTACATACCCTAAGTTACTTACTACGGTCCTACATCCTTATCAATGCAATCGACTCCCATGTGCGGGCGTTATCTATCGAACTGGTACTATAGGCTACTATAGGTTAGAGGCCGAATCTCTCTGGTCAATATACCTGGCAATGATAAGGGCGAGCGAGCGATGCCAAGACATAAAGAAATACCTAAGACAAACTGACGATCTTCATCAGGAATAGCTGAAGAATACTATACTATATTCCGGGGTACATAATGTTATGAAATAGGCTTATCTATACATTCCGAACCTCCGCGAATGGCTCAAGGCGATGCTACGATGCGCCTAGATAAGCTGAAATGAGCAGCTTAAATATATTTTTATGATAGCAACCTGATGATTAAGATCTTATATTTCTCAACTTCATATTCTCATAGCATCCTTCTATAGATAACATCGCTATACTCATCATTCAAGCCAAGTAGACTTGGTAGGTGGATTGGGTCGTATACAATAATGAGTTTTATCAAGGAAAAAATCCCACAGGGTGGCTTGTCTACCGTTGCGGATTTCGAACAGGGACATACGCAACTCGGAACAATTCATGACGTGCAGAACCTCACGATGCTTGGCTACAAGCCAGAGCTACGACGCAACCGATCCATGTTTACTTTATTATTCCAATCCTTAGCGATAGCTGCCGTAAGTCTGTACTGATGGATAGAATAAATGGCTAGATATCTGACTTGATATCTGAATGTATCCAGATACCATACGGCTTCGGTGGTCCTCTTATTAGTGCTATCTTTGGAGGTGGTGAGTGACCAATCATCGCGTTGCATATCTGTCCTTCCTCATATTAACGCTTATATATTAGGCCAACTGCCGATGTTTCTGGGATGGATCGTGGTTTTAATACTCGGCGAATGCATCGCCCTATCACTCGGCGAGCTGGCCTCTCGATATCCGACGTCAGCGGGCCCTTACTATTGGAGCTTCCAGCTTGCTAGCCCGAGATATCGGACAGGTCTCTCCTTCATCACCGGCTGGACATGGCTTATCGGAAATTGGACAATCACTCTGTCGGTCAACTTTGGGTTCGCGTCCATGCTGGCTGCGGCAGTGTCGTTGTTCAAGCCAGACTTCACCATAGAGGCCTGGCAACTCCTGCTTATCTTCTATGCCGTGTGTGTTCTTACGTTCTTTATAGTTGCCTTTGGCAATGGAATTCTCCCATTAGTCGACACGATATGTGCTATATTTACAGCCATTAGCATCGTGGTTACTTGCATCTGCCTATCCGTGAAAGCAGATGTTGGCAGGCATTCTCCCAGCTACACCTTGGTAGGATATCTCTGCTCGGTCTTGTGGACAAAGATATACTGAGAAATTCGTTTCTAGGGAAATTACGATACGTCGCTCTCTGGCTGGGAGGACTTTTCATTTTGGATTGGCATCTTGCCGGCAGCCTATACGTGAGTTTTTATTAGTGGTCTTTCTCGAGTTACGATAGCTTTCCCATGATCTTTGCGAACATCATGAGCTCATGGTAAGACAGATTTTCAGCTATAGGGATGATCTCGTCAATGGCAGAGGAGTGCGGTGATCCCACGGTTAAGCTACCAAACGCAATAGCTCTTTGCATACCAGTTGGCGGTATTGCTGGGTTGTTCTTTGTAAGTACCTCTCACGTCCTCGGTCCAATAGTCTTTAAATGTTACGCCAATAAAAAGACCTTTAGAAATCTTACACAGGTATAAAATATTTACTAACTACATCTGTATGACTAGATAATTCCCCTATGCGCGACATTGCCAGACTTAGCGGATGTAATCACGGCACCAGTAGGCCAAGCATTGCCTTATATCTTCGGAAGAGTCATGGGAACACCTGGAGGTGGTCTCGCCCTTACTATACTCGTCCTTATAATCACCTTATTTTGCTCAATCTCCATCACCTGTGCAGCATCGAGATGTACATGGGCCTTCGCGCGGGATAACGCCATTCCACTTTCTCGCCTCTGGTCGAAAATAGACGAACGTCACGGCACGCCGATCTGGGCACTTGTCCTTACTACGCTCATTGAGATGCTTCTTGGAATAATCAACCTGGGATCTTCATCAGCATTCCTTGCCTTTGTGTCGGTTGGCGTTATATCTCTTGCCGTCTCTTACGGGATACCTATCGCTATATCACTATTTCATTTCCGCAAGGAAGTTAATAGCGCTAAGTGGACTATGGGGAAATACTTAGGATTGGTTGTTAATTTGCTCGCGATGCTTTGGATTCTTTTCGAAGTAGTATTGTTTTCCATGCCTACCGTGTTGCCGGTAACCGAGGTTAATATGAACTACGCAATCGTAGTCTTCGTTGGGTTTATGGTTCTTAGCGCGATATGGTATGGCATATATGCTCATAAAGGTAATCATTTCTCATTTCTATTGTGCTTTTAGACACCCTTTCTACAATCTTAATGCTAACGCGGTATACTCGCTATAGTGTATCAGGGACCCCCTGAATCAGACGGACTCGCTATCGATTCTTAGTTGAAAGCACTGTTTGAATTACGAATAGGGGTTAAAAAGGAGCGAGCGAGCTAAAGGGGGATATTGATAGTACTAAAAAACCCCTCGACGATTAATAATCGAGATAATTCGTAGGAGCGGGCTTGAAGATGGAATTAATGAGATAGGTAGGTAGGTAGTTAGGGGTGGTATGATTCAACCCTTCATACAATTCAATGAATATATTATTATTATCATTATTAACACACTATACCTACCTGTATTAGCTGTATGCCTCCTGTGCTTAGACTTCAATCTCCTTCTCATCTATAGCACCGTTATTACCAACAACCCTGGCTTTCTTCTGCCTCTCCTCCTTATTCTTCCGCTCCATCTCAAGCTTTCGCTCTTTCAATGCGATACAGAACTTGGACCTTGCTCGAATATCCTCACCCTTCCAGATGAAGATGAAAGGTATGATGGACATGAGTAGACTCAACCCCCCGAGTAAACTACAGGCCCCACTAACTCCTAGCCGTGCGAACATAGGTGTTGTAGCGAGTGGAAGAATAACTGCGAATACAGAGCGGCATGAGCTAGCAGCCGCATTGGCGCTCGCTGCGAAAATCTCATAAGCATCTGTGAGGTAGTTCAACAAAGCCATGAATATCAACACTACGATGATTGAAGTTAGCAATGTTCATATACCGAAACCATAAACCTGGTCGTAGATCACGGTGATATAATATTGGCATTGGCACGATTATAGAAATTTGGAATGAACATACTATAACCTCCACCGAAAGGAATACCGGCTAGCATTGGCACAACAAACGGCACATTCGATCGTGATGACCATCCGAGCCAGAATAAGGATATGGCAAATAAAGGTCCCCCCAGACATGCCAGTGGGACCCGACGATACTCCTCTATCTTTGACCATGGAGTACCACGGGCTTTGGCGTTAAGAATTATACGGTCATACCCGAAGAATACAGGAACCGCAAGAAGTGCACCGACACCAATGGGCAGGTAACATAAACCAGTGACTCCCGGAGATAGGCCATATATATTCTGAAAAATGATTGGGAACGCTTGAAATGACATGTAAAAGATTGTGTAGACTAGGGAAAGGTAGAGACACGTTGCTGTCACAATAAGCTCGGTTAAAATCATACGGATGGGCCGTGTTAGGACCCTGGTGAGCAACTGTTTAAAGTCATGGGGCTCAAGCTCTGAAGCGGAGTAAACCTGGGCTTTAGGGTCTGCCTTTCGAATTTTTGCTGCTCTTTGGCTGAGAAGAACTGGTGCATAAGTCTCGGGGAGGAAGAATGCCATTATTAACGTTACTCCTGCAATAATGAGGCCGATCCAGAAGGTCCATCGCCAGCCAATACTTGTCGAGCAGAAACCGGATATGATCGGAGCTAATAGGGGTCCCAGGGCAGTCATCTTTAAATAGGAATCAGCTCTAGACTAGCATAGGCACATATTTAGATTAGATACTTACGGCCATGAAGCATGCCATAGCTCGACCACGTGTGACTGTATCATTAAACAAGTCTGCCAGAATTCCACTGACTACTGCGATCGGCGCGCTGGCACATGCTCCTACAAAAAATCGAAATACAAGCATCGCCGGCCAGTTCGGAGCGAGGGCACAGGCGAGAGTCCAGATTATGTACATTATGAAACATCCTGTAGAGATATTTCGGCGTCCGATATGTTCGCTTAGCGGCCCCCCTAAGAACGAGAAGTTAGCTAAGAGAATCTTCCCGTGTGCTGATGACACTCCGAGAGATAATTAGGTACCTCGTAAATGAGCACCGAGGAGAATCAAGATTCACTCACAGAAAATCGGCCCAAATACATAACCCAGAAGGTACATGGATATTGGAAGGACAAATTGTGCTTGAGCAGTAACTCCCCATTCCTTTGTCATATAAGGGATAGCCATGCTTGGTAGAGAACTACCTAAGGTGCTATTGGCAACAGTAGCCATTGACGATGTAACAATGAAGGTCTTCCGCCCCTATGGACCGAGTTAGCGTCGCTAAAATAGAGCATAACTCAAGGGGGAATATGCTGACTAGAGACCAATTGTAAGGGTTTTCTTTGTCGTTGACCTCCCATGATATGATCGTTCTCCCTTCAGAACCTTGGAACTGGCTCGGGTCTGGCGTATCGTCTGTTGGCACTCTGTTGTCTTCCTCTTCTACTTTATACCTGGCTTCTATATCTTGATTACTGATATTTTGGACGAGTTCTGCGAAATGGTTTAGACCACTGTCAAGCCTACGAATGCTCCTACGACTCGGCGAAGAGGCATTCGTAGCCACGTGGTCTAATTGCGGTCTGAGGCCGGACTGCATTGGGCTTGGATCTGTCATGGCCGGGAGGGAATAGCCTAGGGGTTCCGTTGGCGAAGTTGTCAATGCTGGAAGACTCTAAGAGCAAGTAGTAGGGGCTAAAGGCTTAGCTACAGAGACAAGAATTCTATATAAAGAAAGACAGAAAAACTTCACCGGCGGGGATTGCGGCCACGGAAAGGGTCGACCGAAGTTTTTATGGGCCGCGATTTATAATGCCGACGCATGGCGACGCCGGACGCGAAAAGCGCACCGTGACGATCATGTTACCGATCTTGGTACCAACACATATCCTACGTTAATTATTGCGGTGAGAACAAGATGCCAACGCCCTCAAACGTTTACTTAGAACCCTGAATATGAAACAGATACTATCTATCTTAATAGTTCAACAAGTATACATGGAGCTCTGAATTCCAAAACAAGCTTCGTCAGGTCTTATTACCCTAGTAATATGGATAGTACTCACTTCCAACCTAACACTTTGAGAATGTGTATTAGTGATAACCCTTGTACTTTTCTGACAGGGAAAAGTTAAGTGAAAATATTGCACCACTACTTTTTATTATTTCTGGATTGTAACCCTCGTAATTATTTCTGTGTCCACTTGCAGCTCAGAGACCGGCTCTGATCGGTAAGAAACCCACTGTGTGTAGAGTTATCTCCACTCAACGCCATCTTCCCAGGTTTCTGGAGCCGCGATGAACGGCAGACGGTGTGAGTGTGGGGTAACTCGAGTGGGACGGGACACACTCAATAATGATGATTGGCTCATGTTAAGGTGACAGTCATCGATCAAAGTGATGATGGCTCGTTTATGCATTTGTTGACATCTCCAGGGCTATTCCCGTAGCCGGATATCATCCCCACTGTGGAGACATTTACACTTTTACACTTTTTAGATATAACAAGGGCCTCACAGCGATCAAGAGAACGTTACCGTGGATGTTTAACGTGAATCCGATTTAAAAAGAACCAATCATATGTTGCCGATGTCGGATTTTAGATGAAAAGAGCATTGCCATTGGTCCGATCAATACAACATTTATATTGAAAGAGGGTAGTAATCGTAATACCCCTGCACCAGACCAGATATAGCAGAGCCACACCTCAATCAAGTTGGGCAGAAATTCTAAAATAGACTTTTAGACTGCCTGAAAGTGAGAGTTTACCATTTCATTAAGAACTGTGGTAACTAGATGGGTTTTCGTGGACATGTTCATAGCGAAGTCGGCGTGTGACAAGAAGTTATTTTTCACTATCGCTACGATACCCCTTATACCCCTATATTCTATAACCAGATTATGAGTCGGCTTTCAATGAGTTAAAGCATGCCTACCTGGTAAACTGCAAAGATAACAACAGTAAGTATACAGTAGAATATTTATATTGAAAGTAGATTTTAAATGTGGTTTTGGTTCAAGATGTTGCAATTTATTAACATTATTTACATCTCAGCTAGCTCAATGGACAATGGAAACAGGACACATTCTTAAGTCTACTATAACACTTGTAGATCACTATCACACTGACATATCTAAGACGAAAATCTATATATTCTCATCTCAGATATATTTATAGTCCCTTGCTATTAAGTAGAGTTTGCGTTAGGAGATGGAGCAAGAAGCATGGAAACAACTTTGTTGTTCCGCGAGGAACTCGAAGCTAGCTACGGGAACCTACGGCTATACATACTAACAGTATCCTTTACTCCAGACGTCTCATCTATAGATGGGGTTGAGCGTATAGTCTTGATAGTTAATGGATCTGTGCCACTGTCGTTGCACATGTACACAATTAGTCATGCCTTGGGCTTTAGGGAAATAATACGAATGTAGCATTAGCACAGCGTAATACAAAATCATACAACGCAACACGACGGACAGTATGGTTTATACCTGGTACCGTAGTCACTTTGCTACGTAGGCCTAGAATGGCCTGTTTAGTAGAGTTTTGATCAACGGACCATGGTCGGCGTCATATGATGAAGATAAAGGTGTTCTGTTTCTCAACAATTGATTCTATAACACAACTGACGCCTTGTGGGGTACTGTGTCAGACGGCTCACCGCTAGTAACACAAAGCAGTCTCATAAATAGGACTAACGTCTACAGTGACGGCGGTCAACGATTCGAGATTACATTTGTCGCTTATCAGTGGTGCCATATATACTCATTACAAGTTCACGATTGATAATACGATTGATAATACGATGAAAGTTACCGCGGCAGATATAGTCCCAATCAAGCCTTATACGACTGGTGTCCTAAGTGTTGGTATTGGGCAGCGATTAGTACGATATTATTGCCGAAGCCGACAAGGGTAACGGAAGATTTTGGTTACGTGCATATTTTGGTATGGTTTGCAGTGCTAAAAATAAAATGTTCGACGATATCAAAGCTACCGTGCGCTATAATTCGTCCTCTCGCCAAGACTCAACCTCCAGGGCTTATCCATACACTGAAGACTCCCACACGTGTCACTTAACGTCGAACACCCGGTTACAAAGAACTTTGATTTGGGGTTACCGTTGATACCCACGGAATTTTCGAACGGAGGGTTGATGGCTATTGCCTACCTTTGCTCCTCCACTGTATGATGTAAGTGGCCTTGACTTAACCTGCGCGAAGTGGCAGGATTACGTTGCTATAAGGAGTATTCTACAGGACGATTTTGGCCTATGATGTAGGTTTGACTTGAAGTAAAATTCTGATACGAAAGAGAGATCTCACTATATTCATATGATACGTTGATACGTGGATTAAGCATATAGAACGTGCTTATATCAAAGAAAATAATATTATTGAATACGCTTCTGCTAAAGAATCGTAATGATCCTTGCAATGTAAATAGATTGATGAGTTACGAGCTACTGAGAGTCACCATGGTAATTATGCTTGTTGAGATAGAGATAGAAATTTTAACGATTCACGTAGAGGTCAGCCCCTGAAAGTTAGACTAGATATCTGAGGTAAATTACTGAGAGATTTAGAGCTGCACCAATGCTTAGCAGCCTAGAGGCTTATAACACATATTTATTTTCTATAGTTCCTTGTCTAAGGGATAATTATCGAGACGGGGCTAATCCCGTCTGTTTCTTGTCAAAACTCAGTTACATCAGTCATATCACATATCAATATCCAACGGGTTTAAGGGACAGGGGGCAGGTATGTAACAAGGCAGATTTTATTTCGGTAGGTACCTAGACAACCGGTTCAAAAAATATAAGGATTGTTAAGTACATAGAAACAAGTCCTGCTGGCGAGTTGCTCCTTTTTTTTCGTCTTTTCGGTTTACTTAAAATTTCGACTTCGAGCAGGGAAGTTCTCCATCATTGTCAGAAACGTCAACCAAGGAACTCAAGCCTACTACAATCGGGATGAAGAAATTTGAGTTATTTATGCTCTGGGAGACGGCGTTGGTGTTTTCTTACCCTCGTTGAGTATGTGGTTTGATATGCTGGTCTGGCCTGCGACATTCTGATTCAGCGACGGCCTCGTAGCTCCACGCCGTTGGAGGCTTTGGTCAGTTTCCATAAGCACAGCATTTTTGTCGGTTCCTTCTAGATCACTGAACGTGTACGACCTCCATTCCGCGTTTCTGAAGTAATTTAACCCACCGGAGAAGTCACCAGTTAAAAATGGTATAAATATCGAGTGGGTAACAACAGCGATGTGTATGTCAGGTTGGTGACCAGGTTGACCCTCTACGCTCTGGAGCATGGACAAGGCATATTCTCGAATGTAATTTCTCGCTTGCCGGGCGCGCGCTCTAAGATGTGCGGGATCTGAAGACAGCCCTGCTCCTGTTCGGTACCAATTATCTTCAAGATTATCTGTATTAATAACGGCTCCGAATTCTTTTTCAAGTGTTGGAATGTCCACTCCAACATTACACGGAATGTTGCCAGTCTCTTGTAGATCCGCATGCAAATCAATCCGCAATCCACCAGCAACAAACTGACCAAAACAAATTAAACCAGTTTGAATTGCTCGTCTTTGCGGCGATGAAAGGATAGCGTCGATGGTGAAAGGAAATGTCTGTTTTACACGTGCACATTGCTGCAGCCCTTCTGCGGTGAGAAAGGGGTCGCGCATCGTAAGAGCTTCGTGTAAAACATTATGAGGGCCTTGAGCGTGGCGAACTATATGAATTGTTACAGGCATGGCGGCAATTAAACTCTTTGTTTTTGTGATAGTTAAATCGATTCTAAGAGTAAAGGGGGTTAGTGTGGTACGTTATTAATTTTCATACGACGCGATACTTCTGCCTCTTATAGTTTTCCTAGGTCTCGCACACATTGTCATTGTTAAATAACAACTCGGCTGTATCTTTAAGCTAGTGGCGGAATTAAACAACGATATTTGGGGTTATCCTTTATGAAGAGATAGTTATTGAGAAAGAACCTCATTGTGTCATCAGTGTCCAAGGTGATGTATTATGTTGGTACACAGGTATAGAAGGAAGTGTATGAGTGAAAGAAGTGCGCATACGAATACCAAAAGCCCCGGCCTATTAATGAACAGGAGTTGGTATCTCCTGCAGAGTATAGCATATCACTTCAACGTCTAAATCCTCGTAAAAGGCCCTAAACAACTAATGATAGCACTATACTCTAAAAGAACTGTAAAAATCTACTGATCGAATAGGATATATAAGATAAATACGCAAGATAAAGCCATAAGCTATAAATATGAGAAAATAACGAATGTATCTATATTAAATGCATAACTGAATAATAATGATCGTGGCTATCTAATCAGAAGAATACGACGAATATTAGACCTTTATATGGCCTATGACCTAAGATTACATAATAATACCCTTGCTCTTGGCGATGTGGCACCACACCAGTTCATTAAAGTCCATAACTCTCTTCCCATTACTTGGTTATGTCATAGCAAGTAAGATGAGGCAGTTAGATACGTAACATCGTAATTATATATCAAAAGGTAGCGACTGAAACTAGCAACCGAAGGCCTTGGGTTGAATGACGCGTGCCACCATTAGTAGACTCCGGGAATAATGACGTATTTTCCCTTAATTTTATCATCGCCGAACCTTTCCTTATACCACTTTCCACCAGACACAGCGCGGGGTAGCATAGCAAAAAATTCGTTAATTAAGAAAGACCTCGCAGGGGTGCAGGGGATGCCGGCGGCGATCCAGTATCCGAGCCACTCGACCCATTCCATGAAGTAATGGGGATAAAGCATATACTTGAACAGCCCATTCTGTGGAACTTCGTAATGCTTTTCGACGGTTCTGCCCTGCTGCTTCAATTTTGCTTGGCGTCGAAGCTCACCTCGGCGGATCTCTCGTAGTTCCTCGTCGGAGAAATAGTTTGCGGCGAGTCCAACATAGAAGAGGACAAGACCTATTGAGAATTGCAGAACAGACCAGTTCTGGGCTTTCCATTCTTCTTGGGTGGTCGGCCCGTATGCTGCTAGCCAGCTGCCTATGCAGGTAGCGTTGCATAGTTGGAAGATGATAGCATTACTCCAGACAAGCACGTGAATGGGAGACATAGACGGCTGGATGATAGGGAAGATAACGGCACGGTAAGTGTAATGAATAACGAAGAGGCCAGCAAGGACTTTGTTCTGCCACGGTAGGTCCTCAATGCCGTGCTGAGCTGGAAGCGTGCTCATGATATATAAGAGAGTGGTAAAACCAGGAACCTCCATCGTCGCCCAGGCAATTCGTCCGGGAAGATTGAACTTGCTCTGAACTGAGGTTTTCCCCATGCCATACCACGAAGTAATCCATTGGAAAGATGCCACCTGAATGAAAAATTAGTACTATCACACGGAAGACCTGGACGATATAAACATACCAGAGGGTAAAGTTTCCACCAAAATAGGAGTTTCTCGTAGTTTTCTTGGCTGGCTGGGAGCCAATCTTGAACAATGGCCATAGCGAGTAGCTTTGTGATCAAGAGCGATTGGAAAATTCGAAAAGAATTGTTTGTAGCCTTATGAACACATCGGAGACAGGAAGTTGGAGGAGTAAGTATTACCACTATTAGGTGATTTCATCGATGTAACATGGAATTGGTATTCGAAATAGGTAAGGATAGTCTGATCGGAAGATGGCGAAATTGAATCTCCGACTCTATTCTGAATTCCATGTCTAGGTTGCTTTGCTTTGCCTTGGCTACCTACATGTACCTAAGGTACTATATAGGTACCTATGTATTAGGTAACCCCACACTCTACTTCGATGGAACGCGAGGAGTACATATATGTGCTTACGTTGGTAGAGGATAGACAGGTTAGAAAATTTAATAGTAGCAATGCGAAAGCCCGGGGACGTGAGTAGGTCGAAGCTCCCTAAAGTGAAGTTACCTAGTTACGCTATGTAATGCCTGAGTATTCCGTACACGCATGTATTATACAACGTACCGAATACATTGAAAACTTGAATGTCGGCTAAAATAGGTTAAATCTACATGTACCTAATGAATGCCATGGTTCAAAAGGCGCCCTACTAAGTGTGGCTGAGTTGTAATTTTCGTGGCTTAGGTACCTGATTAGGTAGCTGACGACCGAGCTTAGCTACGCGCCACCGCCACTATTCGTACCTCTTAACTGCCAAGATTGTCTGATTCCTACCAGGTACCTACTAACGGACCTAGCGACGTTACATCATTTGCTACCCGTTTGCTTCTAATTCAACTCAAACTCAAACCATCCATACCTAAACTGCTAAAGAGGTACCGAGCGCCGAACTCTTCTTCTATTCGCTTTGAACCCACCTCTTAAGCTATAAACACTAGAAACGATATATAAACACTTGCAGCCCATCAAACTTACATTCTTTCTTCGAAGCCTTACTCCGAGTGCTTTTTCAACTTCTTTCTCTAGTGCCACAACCATTCCATGCGAACATCACGGTGATGACGCAATCACGAGCTGTATGATTGTTAGCTATTCCATATTAGCGAGATTACCTGCTCGAACCGTCTATTAACCAACTCTGATCCGAGATTGTCTGGGAAATAGCCAAACTCGGCCGTATTAACTTGGCCGAAATAGCACCATGGTCGCACGAAAGCCGCTTCCTGACAGTTCCTCGGCGAACACCAATACACCCCCACCCGCGGTTAGCATACAAGGTGTAAGACAGGAGCTGTGGCCTCCTAGCGATTCCGAATCAGAGTCAGTCAGAGCTTGGGCGAAGGAGGATCCCGTAATATCCCACCACAGTGACACAAACCCTGCGGCTTCGGGGAGCCATAATACATCACAAGATATACCCCACGTCCTTCAACCTGGCGCCACCTATCGTCATGACGAAACAAATCCCTGGGATGACCGCAATAAGAACAACAGCGCCGATCCTGTAACAGAGACCAACGTTAAGCTAGATGAAATGCCAAAAGCTCTCTGGCCAGGAGGTACGCGATTCGAAACGAATCCTTTCAAACGGAAGCCAGTACAGGCCAACCCGAATATTCAAGATAATCAAGATAGCCAAGAATCACCGGCAACATCTGCGAATCCTCCTTTGGTGAATCCTCCTTCGGCACCTCCCCTTACTTCTGTGCCTACGGGCGCATTATCTCAACTACATATTTCCGAACCCGAAACGAATACAAATCCCTGGCAGCCGGCGCTTGGCGATTCTAGGCCCCCTAATACTTTACAACCAGTATCGCCTCCATCCGATCCGGAGTCTAAGAGAAATGTCTGGGACTCGGGTTTGCCATCGAGAGCGACTTCTACGGGACCTGTGCCAGATTCTCCTTCCCTATTATCTTTACCTACCGGGGGGGAATCTCAACGATGGAACGATGCGTCTCCAAATCCTCCATTGCAACCACTACCAGGGAGATCTCGAGAGGCAGAAGAGATTCTAGATGACCAGCATGCATGGGACGATCTTGGGCCTAGCAACAAGGGTAAACAACCAGAGTTACAAGAGTCACATGTACACTCAGAGACCGTCGACGGCTGGAACCTAATTGACCACGAGCCAATACCAGAACCAGGACCCGGGGCTCTATCCAAGCAAAGTACTTGGGAAAACTTCATGGATGCAGATGACGAAAGATCAAAGGAAGAGACAGCTCCTACGACGGCAGCTCCTACGACGGCAGCTACTACGACGGTAGCCCCTACAGAGGTGCCACCGGCTTTACCACCGCGGCGAGCGTCGAACCAAGAACCGCCACCACAGCCACCCAGAAATCAGTCACCAGGCACTACAAGTAAATCGGAAACATACCAGATTAAAAATATCAATTGGCTTGATGCTACGGCGGCTAAGAACCCTCGGAAGTCGCCTATACTTGTACAAAACGCTAATGGCCCTTGTCCTTTGGTTGCGCTCGTTAATGCGCTTACTTTAACGACGCCTGCTAATCAGGCGAATTCAAATCTTGTCGAAACTCTAAGGTCTCGCGAACAAATCAGTTTGAATTTCCTCCTCGAAGCTGTCGTTGATGAGCTTATGACCCACCGGCATACCAACCCAGACGTGTCCTTGCCAGATATGACCGAGTTATATGCATTTCTTAAGGGTCTCCACACTGGTATGAACGTCAATCCGCGGTTTATCCCGAGTTCTGAGTCTTCCCCCCTGCATATCCAAAAATCAACTCAAGAAAATCCCACCCCGGGGACCTTTGAGAATACCCGGGACATGAGGCTCTATGCTACGTTTTCCATTCCCTTGATACACGGCTGGTTACCCCCGAGGGATGACCCTGTATACGATTCCTTCACCAGACAAGCATCCTCATACGATGATGTGCAGAGCATATTGTTCCGAGAGGAAGAGCTCGAAGATAAGCTTAGCAATTCTGAGATGGGCCTGACTGAGCAGGAGCAGCAACTGTATCAAGACATCATCATCATAAAGTCATTCCTTAGTATTTCAGCAACACAACTCACACCATGGGGTCTTGAGGTGATTACCAAAGCTATTCGACCTGGGACGGTGTCAATTCTATTTCGGAATGATCACTTTTCTACTCTATACCGGCACCCCCAGACGCAAAAATTATTTACTTTGGTAACAGATGCAGGCTATTACACACACGATGAGGTCGTTTGGGAATCACTAGTAGATGTACGGGGCGAACGAACTGAGTTCTTTTCTGGCGATTTCCGTATAGTCGGAGGACCTCAACACCAACGATCATCCGGAAATGTTCCAGGTGGCTGGAATGGAGAGGGAGGCTCAAGTAGCAATTCTCACGGGAACGGGTGGCAAACGGTCCAGAACCGGCGATCGCGGAACAGCCGGGCTAGCGAACCGGATCCCAGCACTTCTATTCCGCCGAAACATGAGCAGGAAGATCGAGACTTGGCTTTGGCTTTGCAGTTGCAAGAAGAAGAAGAGGAACGACATCGCGCAGAACAAGCTGCTCGCCGTCGTGAGAGCCAACTGTCTGAGCAATTTATCGAGCAGCAAGGCCGGCAAGGTGCCCCAACCCGCGGAGGTCACAATCAACGCGGTTCTATTGGTAGGGGCAGCAGTGGTCCATTGCCACCAGCCAGGACTAGTTCAGCTAACCAATCTACAAGCACGGTGGCCAGTCGAGGAAGGCCGGTACAGCAAGTTAGGTCCTTAATTCCGCCGGCTTCGACAACCCATCGGCCCGGAGATGACCACGTAGACGATGCACCACCAAGTTATGAACAAGCTTCCAAGTCGACCCCGTACGTACCACCCGCAGGGCATCCGAGTCATCCAGAGAGCAGTCCAAGTAGCGCGAGCGCAACTCCTAGGGGGGGGTCTACATTTAGTGGACAGAATAGCGCTGGACCCAGTACGCCAGGGAGGGGACGCCAGAGCGCACCCCCTGTCCCTACTGGAAATACTACCTCGGCAGGAGGGAGCAAAGAAAAAGACTGTATGGTAATGTAACGAGATGCCATCATGCTACACACACTTGCTTTACATCACAATGGGGCTACATGGTTACTAGAGATGGGGTTCATTGGTTATGGGTTACACGTTGCTTTGTAGGAATCATAGGTTACGGGGATTGTATTATTAAGGGAATTGGCAGGGTACCGGTCACTTGTCTGACGAGTTTACGCAGGGAATATATGATCATGTCCTCATCCATCCAATATACGGGAGGTGGTTGCAATTGCTTAAGCACCTGCGTCCATCAAGCCGTTTTCTTTGCAGTCTTCTTATTCTAATATACTATCGTGCTTTATTTTAATATGAAAGGTTGAGAGCAATGTCTTGCAACTTATTACCGATTAAACTACCTAATTTTACAAGTAATTCAAAGCTAGTTACCTAGGTTATAATAAGAAAAAGAGCCGATGAGCAACATGGGCTATAATGGATTTAAACACCTGGGTATCACGTTTAGTATAATAGGTAGGTACCTACTTAAGGCATTCTTTTTAAGTTCAGCGGCAGTTAGATAAAGTAAGTAAATATCAAGACAACGAACTTAGCTAGCTACATAGGCAAGTGGCCTACTTATTCGATATGTCTTCCAACCTCAGCCTCACTATCTCTTCTTCTTACCACCACCACCACAAACACAACCTTCTATCTCCACCCCTACGCCGCTTCCGCCGCCACCACCTCCTCCGCCTCCTCCACATCCGTCTCCATGATCCGTAACACTATCATCGTCGTCATCGCCGCCATCGTCATCATCATCATCATCATCCCCACCACAATGACACTCGCAAAACCCTCCTCCTCCTCCCCCTCCGCCGCTATCCCCCGCTATCACAGCCGCCGTAGCCCGGAAACATATCCCCCCCCCTCGACAGCCACCACCCGCACTTCCTCGGCAGCGGCACCGGCTATGCTGGTGTAAGCCGGGATGCGCATGCGCATGCGCATGGTGTGCACGAGGCCCGTGGTCAGCGCAGTACAGCGGATTCGCCGCCGTGCCCTCGCGCTGATCCGCGCAGTCGGCGTGTCGCAGCAGCGCCGCCATGCACATGTGGTCCGCGCACCACTTGCTCCCCGCGCCGCCGGCGCCGCCGCCGCCGTCGTACGTCTGCTTCCGACACGCGGGGTCCGCGCACTCGTGGTCGTCGCAGAAGAGGCTCCCCCGGGTTATATCCACGCGGGGCTTGGGGCAGGTCGGGTGGAGGGCGCAGGAGTGGTCGCGGCACTGGCGGAGTTGGTGGTAGTAGTTAGAGGCGTGTTTTCTGCTGGTGGAGAAGAAAAGGGGGAAAGAGGGTAGGTGGTAGGACTTACGGCCTGCGCCCCGTCGCCTTCTACGCGCTGCCCTTCGCACGTCGCCGATGCTGCGCAGAAGTGCCGAAAGCAGTATTTAGCTGGTCGGTGCAAGACGTCGTGGAATACGAGGGACTCGCACCCGTCGGCCTGGCATACTTGGTGGCCGTGGCAGTAGTATGGGGGACCCTGGCCCGGAGGCGGAGAGGATGAAGAGTCGTTGTTAATACAGTTTACACATCCACGGCCGTGGCATGTGTGTTGGCGGCAACACTACGATGATAGGTTAATAACCAATGCATTTACTAGAAAAGGGGTCTAGGGAATATTGTTATATATATATATATATATGGTAAGGGTGATAACCCTCATAAAGCAATAACAGTCTCGAAACCATGGGAAGGGGGATAAAGAGCTTGGTACTACGTACGAGACCCGGACTCTGCCGCAGCTGGTCGCAATCCTTGATGCTGCAGGCATGTTTATTACAGTATGGCGAGCTCTTCTTTGGACAACGTGGTTCCTTGCATTCGGTGAGAGCACAACCGTCTAGGACAAGCGGTTATTAGTGAGAAATACGGTGGCTTTAAGAGGGATTTATAATGTGTTTTGGGGGAGGGCAGATAAATCATATAGTGAGGGTGAGACCAACGTTTCTCGGCGCAAAAGGGGAAACTCGGGTTATGCCCCTTTCTTGGACAGTGGCACCTCCGGCCTGCTTCGATGTATTTGCAGCAACGATCTAAGAGTAGAAGATAAACCATGTTGGTGATCTGCTTATTCAAAACTTCCGAGAGAACCTCCCACCCCCCTATTAAGGCCCCCCCGTTTGATCTTCCTCCCCTCCTTTTCTTTATACCTATCCTATGGGGGATTAGGGGTGAGGAGCGGGGAAGAACTCACGGTGATGACAGATCTTCTCCTCTCCGTGACCACGCTTTAAACACGTCTTGAACTTGAGGCACACGGTACAAGCGTGATGTCGACAATAAAGAGAGGACGCCGTGTTGCCCATAACCCTTCTATTGCTGCAAGCCCTCACGCGGCACTTGAGGTCCGCGTGGAAGCACAGCTGCCAAGGCGATAACGCCATGTCTCTCGTTTCTATCGACCTCAAAAAAATAAAATAAAATGAGTGTTCCTAGGCTAGTTTATTGTGTGCCGTAAAAAGTGATGAGGGGTTATCCTATTTTCTAAGGGTATTGTCGGGTCCAAGATTAGCTAGACTTAAAGACGAATCGACATCTTTGACTCAGTACGGACTCCGAAGACAAATATGACGGACCGGAAGCTTCTCATGACCCAAACAACGGGACGGATAGACATCAACGTGGCGGAGCCAACACGGGCATGACGTGTTCGGTGGGCGTAGGCAAAGCTTGAGGCGACCGATCGAAGGGATCAAACATCTCGAAATAGGTACTGTGCCCCGGCCACGATATTATTTGTGTCCAGTAGGCTCCCGTAGGGCCAGAGACCTCATAATGATCATAGCATACCTTAGGTAGGTAGTTTATTATATCCATAATCTTGTCACAAGCCTGTCGAGGTTAAGAGTATGAAGTAGGCTGCGGCTCAAGTTCATCAAAGAGGGATGCGAAACGATTAGCCTGTTCTTTCTCTTACTTAGCTACCTAAGTATAGGGCTGAGTCAACCCTAGGTACATGTTAGTGCTAAGAATACGGATGCTGTGAGATCAGCCAGATATCGTTGTCCAGTACATAGCCTTTGTTTTCACGCATGTCTCCGCAGAATATGACATTGTTGATCGACAGGGAAAACGTGGTTATGGCGAGCGACAGGAAATTCTAGAAGGCCACCCGATATTCTTTAATCTTTATCGGCAGAGTGCATCATCACTCGTACGTATCCGCGCCCAGGGCTGAGTGGTTACGGCCCGCGGGGCGGACCCAGACGAACTTGTATAACACAATCCACAACTAGAGCTTGTTAATTCGATTTATACCAACTATGTAATGTTTGTCCAGCTATGCCTTGACTATCTCGCTGCCTCCGAATCACCAAAATCGCCTAGGGGGTATCAATCATGCATGACATGAGTCTCGTGAGCTATACCTAGAAAAGTCATATGCCGCGCCCTTCCATCAGAACTGAATACTATTCAGTCGACGTGGCGGCGGGTGTAGCAGAATTGGTAGAGGGTATTGCTCCTTCATCAGAGTAGGCTGTAGCGGCAACAACAGCCAACGCGTTGTTTTCCCTTTCCTTTTCCCCTTCTCTCTCTCTCTCTCTTTCTAGAGCGGCTCTCAAGCCAAGCACTGCAGCGTCTACACTACTGAGTTCATTCTTCTTTGGTTCATTGCTTTCTAAGGCAGTAGTTGCTGTCGGCGCCACGATGGGTGGGGATACGGCAGAAGTAGCTTGAGTTGTAATCGGAACCATCACTGGAGGTGTGGGAGTATTTGTCATAGAAGTCGTATGTCGCTCAGCCTGGGAAATATGTGGTTGAGTGTGGTGATGAGACGTTGATGTAAAAGTGGGGAGGCTGACTGGCTGTGGTGCGGGTATTACTGGACGGGGTAGAGAAGATGGTGTTTGCGCAGACTGCTGGATTGATTGATGTAGCATCCTCGGTGTTCCTGGTTGCGATCCAGGGTGCGACAATGGCTGGTTGGGTGTTGCGCTTCTGGGCACTCCTGCCGAAGGGCTATGTCTCGATGAAGTATTGTTCTGCAGCCCGCCGGCCAATGTCAAGATACCATTTATGTGTGCTTGCTGTTCCTCCGAGTTGAGTCTTGCCTTCTCCTCAGCCTCCTTCCTAGCAGCCTGCGTAGGAGCCCTCGTCTTCAGTTCGCCGGTAACGCATTGAAGATAATATGGCATTTCTGAATTTGTCTTGAGGAAGAACAGTTTCAAATTCCTAGCTTTATCCTTCAATTGTACCTGGGTACGGTCTGCGAGGATATTGCTGATAGATCCATTTGGACCAAAGAGGGATAATATCTGCGACCAATGAGGACCTTTAACCATATCAAGTCCCATCATCAGTGCTTTTTCTTCCTCTGGGCTCCAAGGACGTCGAGTAGAGTGAGAACCTTCCCGCCGTGCATGAGTAGAAGACCGTGCTGCTGCCGCCTGTCGGGCACGCTCATAGAGCGCTGGGGTCGAGTCGCTCTGATTTGGAGGGAGGTGATCGTTGACTGTTTGATACGAAGGCATCCCATTAGTTGCGTGATGTTGCTGGTAATGGCAATACTGTTGTTGTGGCTGCTGCGTCTGCGGCTGCTGCGTCTGCTGAACCTGATAGTTGTTGTGGTTTGGAGGTTGAGCCAAGGGTATTTGAGCTACATCTGGTGAACGGTCATTTCTCTCGTCATCAATATTACTGAACCTACCAGGAACTTGGGGGAGTGTCGTCGGGTGATACTGGTTCTGCTGAATGCTTTGTAAAGCCAATATAGTCGCCCTCGAGGCACTCTCAGCCGCAGATGCGATAGCGGATGGTAGTTCTGAACTTGTAGCACTTTCTTTAGCCTGCTCGACCGCCTTGGAAACATTTTCTGCGAGGAATGCCGAAAGGTCATCTAATTCGTGAGACTCTTCTCCAGCTATCTCCAGCGCATTCTGTGCTGCCCTCGAGGCCTCAGCAATCATAGCGTTAATGTCAAAAGTCTCGTGTAAAATTTGGCCGTCATGTTCGTCTTGCGCAATATCCTCCATTGACGTTGTATTTTCCACCCTTCCGGTACCTCGAGTTCTAATACTTTCTATGTGGTCATTGAGAAACGTGCTTAGACTATCGAGAAAGGCCTCATATGTAAACTGTTTGCTAAGCGCCTCTGGGGAATGGTTAGAATTATTGTCTGTGGGCTTAATTAGACGTGGCAAACATACGAATACTATCCATGTCGGTAGATTCATTAAGGAGCATTGCTTTTCGCGCTTTTGCATTTGCAATAAACTCATATTCAGTAGCCGTCAACGGAAGACTTGGGTGGTGTTCTTGCAAAGAACTCTCCAGTCTTGTAACAAAGAGGTCATCTAGAAACTGATCCCTAGCTTTTTCTTGTTCACTTTCTAAAACGGCCAGGAAAATCTGAGTCTTCAGGCCCATATATAATTCCGCAGCATCCCGGGGTATTTCGTGATTCTCAGGAACGAATATGCGTAGAAAATGATCGTTGACCTCTTCTAAACCAAGCTCGTTGGTACCGAAGACACTTGCGCATGTCGTTGCAAGATTTACTATCCTAATTACTTCTCGAGTCTGATTGGTGACGTTTAAGTGTTCTGGATATAACAATGGATACGTATCTGAAAGTTGCTTTCGCTGAACATCGAAGGCACTTTTTAATAAGACGTATTCTTTTGCGATATCTGAATCTGAATCGCCGCTTAGAGTAGCGATTGTGTCCTCTAAGGATTGTTCAGACCATGCAGTAATAATGTCGACAGCCTAGAAATCCTTAGTCGCTTCAACACGAGCAGCGGGCCCAGAAAACACTCACTAGGCTCCCAAGTCCAGGTATGATATGCTTCCGCCGCGTAAAATCTCTAGGGTTACTCCACAGAGACTCTGGGCGCGGTTCTGGGTTATCGACAGGACTAGGCGCCCGCGGTTCGAATTCCGTATCCAATCCCGATATATCGTGGTGTATATCATGGGCTATATCGTGGGCTATATCATTGGAAATATCGTGGAAATGTTTGGCATCATTAGAGGGAGCATTGTCAAGCTTGTCGGGCTCTGACTGAAAGTGCTGCATAGCATCAGCCTGAGCTTGCTGGACAAGAAGGGCAATCTCATCCATCTCGTTCACTCCTTCGCTTTCTATCTTGGGTCGCTTTTCGTCTCTAGCTTGGTCGCCATCTTGGTCGGGGGTTCGCGGTCTCTTTAGAGGTGACTGTGGCAGTTGGGGTGGATGATCTAAGACCATAGCGTCACCAACTAACGACTCGGTTTTAATATGAGGGCCTGGATTCATCAGCGTCGGTTAATATACATCTTTCTAAGGGAATGCATGCGAAACGGTAATATTCAGTATTCAGGAAACTTGCCATCCTAAGAAATCCAAGGTTCAATGAACAAAGCAAAGTGCAAAGAAATCAAAGTTTGTCTACTTACTGGGCGGTGGCGCGGCAGCAGCGATGGCTGCCGCAATAGCCTCAGCGACATCAGCCATAGGTTAACTTAGTATAAGCGACAGTAAGTACATTGACACCGGAACGCAATGGTAAAGCAATTGGTAGTTGCTGCCGTTAACAGGTAAAATGAGTTAGAAGTCTTGATGTACCTAACCTATCAATGTTCTTGGAGCGCTGATAATGTAGGTAGATAATGATACCGGCGAAAATTTGGTCAAAGCGCCCGATAAGATTAGAAGATTGCCCTCATTTCTTGCCCCAACAGCTTTAGACCAACGCGATACACAAATGCAAGTCCAAAAACTTTAATTTCTCCAAAGACGAAATCTTTATTTTTACCTAATGTACCGGAAAGTATCTTGATGAAATACGGAATTGCAAGTCTAATTATAGAAGTTATAGAAGTAAACCATAATGTGGATATCTTATTCCAATTAGACTATGTACTATATCACTATGAATTATTAAAAAGTATAACAGCTTGTTTCTTTACATCTACATATGTTTGAGAGCAGGTCGGTCTTCTCAGCAACATCGTCATAAGTACAACTACGACCGACCTATCTCAAACAATTATAATTGGTTGTCTGGTCGTTAATTTCGTAGGGATCTAAGCTAAGCACGAGATTTAGGTATCGTTAGATATCATGGCAATGGATGAGGCTTAGATTGATATAATGTAGATAACGTCAGTTGATCCAACCCCATGGCATGCTAACGCATGCTAAGCATTAAATGAAGCTTGTTAGCTACAGAAGTACAGCTTAAACGTATACTCTTCAGCCCTAATAGACTATAGAAAGACACTGTAGATCAAGTAGCATCCGTGTAGTCGGGATGTTCTTACACTCAATCATCCTATGCTTATTCCCTTGAAGATAGTTAAAACTATAACTCTTGTCGTTGCTTAAAGCATGGTTCTTATAAATGGCCAAAAGTATTTTTTCTCGTAGGTAAAATATAAGCTACGATACGCACCATCTATTTGAACAGAACAAATATTAACTTTGAAGAAACATTGTAGTTAATCAAATCATATCTTTACAATAGATCGACTAAGTTTATCTTGGTTTAGAACGAGAATATATTGTATCATACGCTGCGGCTACCTAGCTAACTACCTCGATAAGCTCGATCCATGTACGTCGAGCCCGGTGTCTTTTCATCCGCACCGAGTTTATCGAGATACCAAGCTCGGAGAATAGATAGAACATGGGGGTTTTAAAGGGTTCATCAATATGGGCGGCTAGGCTCGCTACCTGTTAACCCGAGATAATATATGACATAAACAATGGGACCTTTTAAGATAGTTATATTTAGGTACAAGAGATATATGGGATATACTACAACGAGATTCGACTTGGAAGTAGATGAGTGAGTACGAGTGTCACATAAAGCTTAAGAAGCAATCTAAACGCCAGTAATTTCTACTACTATTTATTATTTCTAAATCCATACCTACCTTATGCCTAGGATAACTCTGCTATTCCGGAACTTTCCGTCTCGACGGTAGATACGTGGGGTCCCCGGAGAACTAGGCGGGGTACACTAGGCAGATGGAACAGGTGAACAACAAAATGTGTCGTAGGATTTCCCCCTATCCGGAGCTTGCGGAACCACTTGCTATAGAATGTTACACGAGATCGATATATCGAACCGTTCGTCCGTCCGTTCGACCTCTGGATCGTATACCCAACACGTCCAGTTCTGTTGAGAATCCGATCGCGGTGGCTAACATATGATCTGTGGCGAACCAATCACGAGCAACGCTGACGCGCTACAAACGCAGGCATTAGCGCGTGTAAGCCAACAGAGTATTCCGTCACAGCGATGAGGTTATCTTAGGACCGAAAAGGCAACCCTAAGCCCATCTAGCTTATCAGCTACTTATCAACTCACCTATCAACTCACCTATAGGTAAGCTGGACCTATGCGGCTCCTCTTTATTCCCCTCAAATAAGCTTCCATTAATCCGTACCGAATCGGTGGTCTACATGGTGTTGTTTCACCTGCACGATCGGGGATATGCCCTCTGGTAAGCACCTAAAAATCATAGAATTCCTCCACAATGCGGGGGACACTACCTAGGTCCAAGTTAAAAAACTAATGCGGTCAGCCTTCGGTGCTGGCAGGCTGGTCAGCTGGTGTGGCAAAAAAAAGAAATACCCTCATCAATCCGATGATGGAAATTATGGGAGGCTGGAGGCTGGAGGCTGGAGGCTGGAGGCTGGATGTTGTATATTCCACTGCGTAGTAAGTCTTGGTTGACGTATGCGGGTGACTTCATGACAACGCTTAAAAAGCAAATTTGACTCTCTAAACGAACGGGTTACGACATCGAGTTATTGGTATGTATCTACCTGGTATGTAGGGACTTACATGTACCTATCTCCTAAGTGCGGGGTAAAGAGGTGGACATTAATTCAGGTACAGAACTAAAGACCCTAGGCAGGTAGTATACCTAACTTACCTACCTAGGTAGACTTACGGATCCGGACGCTAGTAGGGACCGCCTATAGCAAGCGTGACAGATCTCAGTGCTTAGTTGACCAATGAGGTTAACTCCTGCAACTCCTTCCCCATAAACCAAAGGCAATGCCTCCTTGGTTGCCCCGGAAAGAGCCCCATGCGTCCGCAAGAGCGGAAATGCCCTATCCGCAGTGTATGTAGTGTTAGATAGTGGACCTACCCCTATGTAATATATTGCTCAAGATAGGTAGTACCTAAGGTATTGGGGTAGCCGCCTCGCACACGCAATAACACCGTCAAATCTTACCCCGCCTTTAACTTACATGTACCTTTGAAAGTATCCTCTGTACAAAAGACCCGTAACTTGAACCTTCCCCTCTTCATCCTCTCGACTTACATATAACGTCACTTAGCCTGCCGTAGAATTGAAAGCAGCCTCTCTCATCTCGCAATATATATTAAGTACAGTTTCACAGGTCGACGTGACATACATATTTTTTACCCCGTCCATTGAACAGACATCTTTAATACCACCATGCCTCTATCCGTGCAGCTGAAGACGCCAATCACTGGCGAGTATACTCAGCCAACTGGCTTGTAAGTCAACCTGAGCCGATAGCACTGCTAATCAAGGATAACCTTACTGCTTCTCAATTTCCCTATTTGTCCACCAATTAACCGTTCTTGTTTAGGTTCATCAACAACGAGTGGGTTGAGGGCGTTGACAAGAAGACCTTCGAGGTTATCAACCCCTCTACCGAGGAGGTCATCTGCTCCGTGAGTGAAGCCACAGAGAAGGATGTCGACATAGCAGTAGCCGCAGCCCGAAAAGCATTCAACGGCTCGTGGCGTAAAACTACTCCTCAACAACGAGGTATCTACCTGATTAAACTCGCGGATATTCTAGAGAAGAATGCGGATCTATTAGCTGCAGTTGAATCCCTCGACAATGGAAAATCTATTTCTATGGCTAGGGGTGACGTAAGTGCCGTTGTTGGCTGCATCAGATACTATGGTGGTTGGGCGGACAAGATCGAGGGTAAAACCATTGACATCAACCACGAATCTTTCCATTACACCAGGCAAGAACCGGTATGTAAAAACCTAAAGCGGATGTTTCCGAAAGAAAATGAGCGCTAACGATTCATAGCTTGGAGTGTGTGGTCAAATTATCCCCTGGAACTTCCCTCTGTTGATGTTGGCCTGGAAAATCGGGCCCGCTCTTTGCACCGGAAACACAGTTGTTCTCAAGACTGCCGAGCAAACGCCACTCTCCGGCCTCGTTTTCTCTCAGTTCGTCAAGGAGGCAGGTTTTCCCCCTGGTGTTCTCAACATCATCTCCGGATATGGAAAGATAGCTGGTGCCGCTATCGCTTCCCACATGGACGTCGACAAGGTCGCATTCACCGGTTCCACCATTGTCGGCCGTACCATCATGAAGGCCGCCGCAGCTTCTAACCTCAAGAAGGTTACCTTGGAACTCGGTGGCAAGTCACCAAACATCGTCTTCGACGATGCGGACATTGAGCAAGCAATCTCCTGGGTTAACTTTGGTATCTACTACAACCACGGTCAATGTTGCTGTGCTGGGTCTCGAGTTTACGTACAAGAGGGTATCTACGATAAGTTTATTGCAGCGTTCAAGAAGCGAGCAGAGGAGAATTCCATCGGCGACCCCTTCGACGAGGGCACATTCCAGGGCCCGCAGGTCAGCAAACTTCAATATGACCGCATCATGGGATATATTGAGGAGGGTAAGAAGGGCGGTGCTACCATTGAGACAGGTGGTGAGCGTCACGGAGAGAAGGGCTACTTCATCAAGCCAACAATCTTCACCAATGTCACTCATGATATGAAGATCATGCAAGAGGAGATCTTCGGTCCTGTCGTAGCAGTAGCCAAGTTCAAGACGGAAGAGGAAGTTGTACATCTAGGTAACGATAGTACTTACGGACTGGCAGCTGCCGTACACACCAGCAACCTCAACACCGCTCTCCGAGTCAGCAATGAGCTACGTGCCGGTACTGTCTGGGTTAACAGTATGCATTCCCCTTTCCTCATTTTATTCATGCAAATACATGTGCTAACAAGAGATTACTTCTACACAGGCTATAACCTCCTTCACCACCAATTGCCATTGTAAGTAGCCTTTTATTCTCGAGTTATATTTAAATAAATACTGATATGTCACAGTGGTGGTTACAAAGAAAGTGGAATCGGCCGCGAACTGGGCGAGGCAGCGCTCGCCAACTATACGCAAAACAAATCAGTATCCATCAGGCTGGGTGGCGCGATGTACTAGGCGGTGGGTGTCGAAATTCATTTTTCAAATCAAATATCAAAGCGTGCTTTCGGGATTATCCAATAACCATTCTTTCTCGTGTGTATCTCAACACCTGTTGCCTTTAAGAGCATGATTAAGAGGTCGTGGGAGAACTAGTTCCTACGTGTATCAACATTAGCTATATTGACTAGCTAGCTTACCGTGGCGTATATCTGTCCATTGGTGCAATATGAAAGTTAACTGAACGAATTTAAACTTAACTCTGCTGTGAGATGTGACTATATGTAGAAATCGTTGATAATATAATACAAAGCGCTCGATGAATAAAGGATGCGAACAAATCCTCTGGATTATATTTTGAGGTACGAATACGCTATACGGTTAATTTAGTATAGCAATAGGTAGGTATGTTATCGGATTATCAAGTGAGGCTATTGTTGCAAGATTATTGTAGGCTACCTAGGTATTTAACAAGTACCTAATAATCTCGTACTTAAGAGTGTAAGGCTAATAAAGCCAAGCCGCTATCGTTTAATGCATACCTATATAAGCGTTATTTTATCACGTATCAACTGCTGTTGTAATTGATCAAGATATCCTTTCGAGCTTTTTAATCTGTAATACTATATACTATATTATGTAACCGCTGTGTATCCTAGGGTTTTATAATGAAGCCAGTAGTTACTTAGATTATGGACAAATGTGCATTTGTAGTTATCGGCCATCTAACTGTTACTATTTTAGGTGTGAAGTCATTTTCCGCCGTCGACTAGTGTCTATGAGGGCATATGTTCTTATTAATACTGCCTTAGGTATTTTTCCCGACATAGAGATGTCTTAGCTCCCTACTAGCTATTATACCAGGTGCCCTTGACGCTCCTGTTCTACCGATTGCCTTCCCCTTGTTATGTTCTAGGAATAACCGATTTCAAGGAACTCGAGCATGGGGGACTTGCCACAATCGTATCCCTTGAGATGTACTTTATACCCATAAACCAGGATTTACTGTTGCCTAGGCTCTCTGATGTGGCTATTATTCATGTAGCGGATGCATCACATCAACTTCCTCCTCTATCTGTTGTGGTTTACGGCATCCCCGACTTGGACTTTTGCACATACAACGGAGAAGACCACCTAGCAGCTGACTACGGCTTGTTTTCAGCTTTTTATTTGTTGTTTATTATATAGAATGAGTAATACCTCTATTTTAATAAAGGAAATATCTAGCGAGCAGTTTTATCCTAAGTCGTGCTTACATGACAGATCATATGGTGGACTCCCCTTGCTGTCCCTTTACTTAACTAGGTTAGGTAGGTAGTTTCTTGCCCCTTCTTTGTATCTTGTTTAAGTTTTTACATATACATTCGACTATTTTGATATTATCAGCCTTGCTTACTGCTGGCGGCTAGGCCGATGACTATCGAAGGGGGTTTGGCGGAGGCTGGGTTGGGGTGATGATGAACCCTGACCATTATAGTGGTAGTTAACCGATAATTATTGTTCTTGTAGGGCCAGCGGTAGTAGGTAGGATTTTCCGATATCTACAAGGATGTTTCGGGGTAAATGCTAGTTTAGTTGTATTAATAGATTGCATTAGTTGAACCGGTCAAAGTGGGAAGAGTGACGCACGACCATTACAAGTGATATTATTTAGATGGTATTTTTTTTTGAATACCTAAGTAGGTAGGTGTTTTACTCTATTCAGTATATAATTTTTATTTCGAGACGGGCTAAATCCTATTATGTTGGGAGAAGGGTGCCAGTAAGTTAAGTCACAAGGTCGCCACTTGAATGTGTAGCTCGGCTGACGAGGGGGCCATTTGGTGAGAATAATAGCGCTGTCGTCTTAATCCTCTCACTTTCGTCGGTGTTTATGGCCTTCTTAGGAAATTTCATCTTCGCACTAGTCGGATAGACGCAGATATCTTACAAGTTGAATACGGTTGAGGCTTTAGACGCGATGGTAAAGTAAAGGTGCAAATAGAAGGGCTGAATTTGAGCGCCTCAAAGCTAGGGAAAGCTAGGGAGAGGTGAGGCCTCTTATGGGAGATTTTCTGTTTAACATCCCTCGTTTTTGAAGAAGGATTCAAGACCTAGAGTCATATCATGAATGACTGTGGCTAGTGACCTTTAAAATAAATCAAGCTGGACTAGGGATGGGGCTGAGCTGCTGAGGTTAGGAGTTTTTTATGGAGCTCTTTTTTATGTTCATCAGGTCAATCTCTCAAGGATGTCATGGAAGGATGCATCAGCTGAGGGTCTGTGCGCATGATAAAGCAGGTACGTGCCAATCTATCCATTAAACGGTTCGGAATATTCCCATGTAATTGGCTCTTCATCAGAAGATACTTTGTACTTGGATACTTTAGGTAGGTACCTTAGGTACATTCTACACGAATTGGTGGCATAACAATAGACGAGCCACATGGCTGACGGGGGGTGTGCATGAACCCCGCGTAGGTATACTACCTACCTAGGTAAGGTACATACCTACATATGCACGATCGCGCCTCTTTACATTATGTACCTAGGTATGTTTAATGTTCAATATTCAATATTCAATATTCATCATAGTTATCATGATAACAAGTTGAAGAAGAATATAGCCATTTTCGCTCGACTTAAACTCTTACCGTTATCATACCTAATATCGTAGCCTTAGGCCAAGGATGTTTTTTTGTTTTCTGTTTTCGAGATTCTCGGCTATTCCACCAAGTGACATCCCGCTGAGACACAGTAGTCAAATCAAAGTCAACTGAGGTCTCCCGGCCTTCATATGCTTCATGCCTTATGACGTTTCGATCAACACTCTATTGTTATACAGCCCACTTGAGGCTAACATGAAAACCGTAGCCTAGCTTAGGCGTTACCTCGTACCGCGTGTACTTTCAAAGACACGCATGAACAAGTAGAGCGTAAAGTGCACATCTCACCCTCACCCCCCCTCCCTCTATAGTTTTATCAACTGCGAGTGTGCCATGAGGCTAGACTGCAAAGCCTCGTGATATCAAACATCATAGAGCTTAGACTCATATGCTACATCCTTATCCCACCATAGCCTCGTGGGGAGGCCTATCGGGGTTGATGCCTGATATAGTCTACTTATAATGAAGCCTGCCGCATATTGATGAAGCCAATCTTGGCTCGTGTATCTCTCCTTATTCGTATTCATACCTACTAGCTTCCGCTCCTGCATCTGCAACCCATAAACGCAAATTTATACTTTGCGCAGTTAGAATTTATATTTGCCCCGTCGATCGTTATCTACCACCATATCGCGTTTACCCTTGAGTAGAGGGGCGCTTCGTCACTTTCCATATGTTCGAATACTGTATCAGGTCGTGTCCGCCAGGTCGACAGCAGTTCACACGTTCCCATTCTTTCTCGCACCATCATGATCATAATCGCTACCACTACCGAACCCGGTGCTCCGATGACTGCGCCGGGATTTCCACTGAGAAATGGAACAGCCTACGCGAGCAGAAGAAAGGTCTTGTTGAGAGGAATGATGTTCTCACTCGCGAAAACCAGACTTTGAAGTACGACCTTCAAGCCTCTACCCAGGAGAACAGCCGCCTTCTCACTTGCAACCGACAGATGCTCGAGGAGATCGAAGAGTTGAAACGAACACGCTCCCTTGACTGCGAAACAGCGGAGAGATTTCGTCGACGGGTGCAAGCTATCAAGTTAGAAGTTGACCAGAAGGACAAGGATATCCAAGGCCTCAAGAAGGAAAACGACATCTTGTCTAAGCGAGTTTGTGTCATGACAGAAACCATATCGGACCAAAACCAGAGGATTATGAACTACAAGAAGAGACAGGATGATTACCAAACAACTATAGACGACGTCAATAGCCGGCTCGAAAAGACGAAGCGTATCCTTGCAGCTCGTCGTAGGGACCTTGACGACAGAAATGCCCAGTTCGAGGAGCAATGCCGCATGCTGCACAGATACGAAACTACGATTCCCTCTCGTCGTCGGTACAGCTTCGTGTAAGGGGCATAGAGCTATATCACTTTGACTACTCCACCCCTCTAGTGGTCGAGAAGTGATACTATTGGGAAATGCGTTAAAGGGGGACGTGGAGGGTTAGATTGACCTGACAATGAGGAAAGATACCTTGATGTCTTGTAAGCTCTGTTTTTATCGCTACACTGATTTCCAACACGCTCGTGTAATTTAGCTTCTATCGTCTTGCATTACTAGTTAGTTATATTTTAGGATGGCATTGGCAGCGTTGCATAGGAGAAGGGATAGGGGTAGGGAAGAGCGAGTTATGTTAATGTCACATTTGCTTCTTGGTTATGGATAGATGGTTAGCGTTTGGGTTTACGGTTATCTCTTTTACATATTAGGATACCCTCATTTTGCTTCATTTCTTTTGTCATGAAGCACATGCTAGCTTATAGTTCTATGAGCGATACGGCTCGGAGGGGGACTTGGCAGTTTGTCACAAGCCAATAGAGATGTTAGAACTTACATTGTAGGAAAATGTTATGGTAAATAATGGCCTAGTCCCCCGAGAAGCCTGTGAATGAGCCTGTGGGCCTGCTTTCAGATTAACCGGTCGGCTGCTCCCTTGTCTCGTGAGACTTTGATCCGGACCAGTTGTCACATGAGAACTATCTTGGGAGCCACGCCAGTCGACCGAGGCATGACTGGTGAATGGTGTAATGAACTCAACTCCAGCATTATCGCACGTATACGTTTCGCCGTGGATGGAAGTGCGTTCTATTCTGTCTTACCTGTCGTGTACGCACGAGTGGGAAAAGCCGCCGGTACCTGTGTTCCTGGCAGTCGTCATCTACAGCCTAACATCAAGTCGCCACCTAGACCTAACATGTTAGGTGGGCGTATCTATGGCTTAGTATCTTGTGTTCATAACGAAGAATTGATGGTATTGCTGCTTAGTGAGGCGTTCCTGTGAGAGGTAAATAGAAACCCCTAACCCCCTAACCCCTAACCCCTGAACCACAAGATTGTATGCTACAGAACACAACATAAAAGTGTAGCTTCGTGCTGAAGTGTTATACGCGCGTATGCCGCCCTTTGGAAATATGTGCTTACCTCAGAAGCTTAGCAATGTGTATATCGTATGCTTAGGAGAGTGATATATTGGACTACTAGATTTACAGTATCTTATAATTATGCTGACTCTAGCCAATATTGATCCGTCTTGTTATTAATTGATTATTATTTGACTTAGCCATGTGGCAACATCCAAGACTAGCCATCAGCGCAACA